ATTGTTTTAAATTCCTGTAGTGAATGATGTATTTATTTTTATTATTTAAATTAGGAACTAATTTAGTTTCTTTAGTATTACCCACACATATGTTTTCAGGACACAACGGAAAGTCAGAATGCAAATTATGAAGTTCATCAGGATATTCCAAATCAACTTTTAAAACATAACCGAAATCAGAGTTATCCGATACATTGTAATCTGTATTAGAAACAATCCATTCGAAACCACCAACAGGAAGAGATTGAGACATTGCCCAACCGTATAAATTATTTGCATCAAAATAGGTTAGGTATGAATTAGGTTTTTCACTATCATAATCTTCCATGAATTTATTATTTGCTCTAGCAAAACGATTGCTACACTGAGATACACCCCCTCTAATACCAGCTTTAAAAAAAGCAATTTTGTCATAGTCCGTTAACAATTCTAATTCTATTTTGGTAAATTTTAACATTGCATCCCAACTTAAACCTGGGGCAGTATAGTAATGAGCAGGATCTAAATCCATAAGTTTTAATACAAAGCTTTCTAAAGTTTTCAAATACATCAGTCAAAAGTAAAACATCAGTTTTTAAATATAAATTGGAATAATCAGACATACTACTACACTTAAAACTTTACCAAATATCTTTTGCATGATTATAATCATCATTTGAAATATTTGAATCTGTGAGTGAACTTTAAAATTGGTGTTGATCAGGAAGTGATGGATGTTTCAAGCAATCACTATTACACATAAATTCATAAGGATAAATACCTTTCCGTCTTAAACGTGAAGTCTTCATTATTAGGATAGTTCCTTTTTAGTTCTGTAAACTGATCATCATTAAGATTTTTAGCTAGTTGATCTAAACTAGACGATAAAAATTTCAATGAACCTACGAATCTTAAACTTACCGGTTGATTATTTATTGTTAACTGTTTTGAAAATGATATGTATCGTTCTTTATTTTTTGGAATAACTTCAACTTTGTCATCATCGAAGTTTAATGCATGGACAATGAAATTAGCATCGTAGTGACTGAGGTTATGTAAGAATATTGGGATATGACGAGGGGTTCTGTACTTAGAACTACACACATGCATTGATGTGCAACAACCCTAAAACTGCCAGTGTGCCAATCAAAATCGTAAAAAAGATCTTCATTTACCTCAGTTTCACAAATATAACATATGTATGAATTTGAAATTTTAATTTTATCTTCATCTGATAATGGAACGGGGCATTTTTGGAAACAATTTTTTTTAACTATTGTTTTCACATCTTCACAAAGGCGATTCATAAACACTTGTGCACAGTTTGACCCACTATACGTCTCATATTTTGATAATCTGTTATCATATGAACATTTAATATAATATCCAAAACTATACACTTCATGTTTTTGAATATTAATCGTACTAGGCTGAGATGGATCGTTACTACATGATTCTATTGGATTCAAAAATGCCTCAAAGTCTGCATAAATCACAAAGGGCATTTCCAACTTTTTCACGAATTTGTCAAATTTTATTTTATTATTTGAGGTCGGTTTACCAAACCAATCCTTTTTGGAATACTCGCCGTTTGGTAATTCCGTACAAATGTGAGCGCAATCATATTGTCGATGGCTATTAAGTCTTTCCTCTGATGGGAAATGAAGTAAACATGAATCACATATATAAACTCTCAATGTTGTCTTGATATTTGTGAACTAACTAATCGCGATAAGTTTTTAATATAACAGTAATGATTTTTAATACCATTCGATATATATAGTAGGTTAATATGATTAGGTGTACGACATTTTGTTCAATATAAAGGACCTAATAATTCTGTTGGAATTATACACTTTTTTTCTTTATTAGGTAAGCCAAAAACATGAATACTAATATTGTTTAATTTCTCAACTTTTGATATATCTGCAATTTTAACCGGAAAAGAAATACCAGTAAATTTTAGTTTATTTCCATGAATTGCGTAAGATGCTACCCGATCTACACTTTTACATACAAGATATAAACCAGAGAGTAATGCCCATTTGCTGGGTCAAATGATGTAAAGTTTAAAGTTTGCATTACGAACTCTTATTGTTCGAAGAGCACGAATTAATCCAAGTGTATTACTCGCTCATCAGAAAGTTTTAGCTTCTACCACTGCTAAATATCCTATTACTCGTGCTGAAGTTAAAGTTTTAACAATTCCATCGGGTGTTCAAGGAAAAACTCTTGATAATATATTCTTAGGACAGGTACCCAAAAGATGTAGTATAGGTTTTGTGAATAATTCTGCATTTAATGGTTCACTAACTAAAAATCCATTTAACTTTGAAAATTATGGTATTAACTCTTTCAGCTTATATATTGATGGTCAACAAATACCATCCAAAGCTTTGCAACCATCTTTTAATAATAATATATTTACATCAGCATATCATACTCTATTCTCGGGGACTGGTATTCACTTTCTTAATGAAGGAAATGCAATCTCACGTGAACAGTATGCCAAAGGTTACTGTCTTTTAGCATTTGATTTAACTCCTGATTTATCAGCTAACTCATCAGCCCATTGGAATCTCATAAAGCATGGTAGTGTAAGATTAGAAGTACGATTTGAATACTCACTAATACAAACAATTAACTGTATTGTTTATGCTGAGTTTGATAATATTATTGAAATAGATAAAAATAGAAATGTTACTGTAGACTATAGTAGTTAGGATTATAATGTGTATTGTGTTTTAGATATATGTGTTACGCTTAATGCATTTTGTGTGTGTAACTAAAGGTAACATTATAAAATTTAATAAAACAAAATGTATGCAATGTACTATTTTTTATTTACTTATAAACCTTCCCTATTTAATCTTATACAATATACTACTTATAATTAAAGTAGAGAAGAGAGTATCCGAGCATCACCATACGATGAATCGAACAGTTCACGCTTCTCCATTTCATCACAAACTTTTATATCATTAGGTAACATATACTATTAGTTTATCTATGATTAGTTTATAAACATCTTTAGAATCCTTAATTTGTATTAATATGACTAATCCACTAATGAGTGAGTGTTATTGTTAAAAAAGTATTTTTTTACTTTTTCACTTTCTGCTATTGTCTTTGTAATATTGTATACGAGACCGTTTGTGTTGTCGTAGATGCTATCCTTATAATTCTTTACGTAATATTTAATCCTCGTGGTAGCGTGCTTCCAGTGATCACTAGTTAGAATCTTGGATAGTTTCTTCATATCTTACATTTCAATTTTTATGAGATGAGATGATGATGAGATGTCGTCAGAATTTGTAGAGCTGTATGATACGCCATCTTTAACAGCTCGTGCCACAGTCGACGATAGCAGCTTCCTCCATTTTATTTTTGGTGCCACTTCAAAAAATTTATCAATCGGTTGCGATTTCCTTTATCCACCATCGTCTGTGTTATTAACGACGATGTCATCACTCTCTTCTTCATGTTGGGGAGAGAGAGGCGAGTAGTAATACTGTTTATAGGTATTTACATTATCGTCTGCGAAGCTGAATGATCTCTGCAACAACAGAGTTATCACGTTAATATCAATTTGATTAATCTGACACACACACACACACATACACACGTAAGGAAACAACAACAGAAATACAAGTAAGTTTGTCAATAGAATAAACACTTACCTCCATGATGCGTTGAAGTAGGTAACACAAACGTAGTATTGGTAGACGTATACAATTCACTGTGGTCAAACGACCATACACTGATTGCATGACTGCAATTGTTCCATCATATATAGTCCATTCTTATCTAAAACATGACACACACATACACATCCCTAAGTACAACGAAACTCTATGAATCAACAAACTTATCTCACATCACAACAGGCATGAACCTGTTTTGTGACTTACACAAAGAATGCGATTGTTTTATTTACAAATCACTATCATTGAACATTCCTATGACAACCATTTTATAGATTGGTACTGTAATAATCTGCTAATAACAGTAATATCATGGATACACTAGAATTACAAAAACATATGAAAAAGATTCATTCCAGTCTAGAAAATAATGTTTATGCTGCTAATAGACTACCTATGTACATACATGTACCAACGTATATAATATGCAATTTGGATGCGGATGATAAACCAGGGTCACACTGGGTAGCCATACATATCGATACAAATGGTATCGGCCAATATTTTGATTCATATGGATGAACACCTGAGCGATATCATCTTCAGTTTTTGAAGAGGAATTGTAAGAGGTGGGACTGGAATGTTGATAGGATTCAGAATGATTGGACTTCGGTTTGTAGCGAATATTGCTTAATGTATTTGCTATTTAAGTTTCAGGGATGTTCAATGCATAGTTTTACGAACATATTTACAGGAAACACGCTGTACAATGATAATTTAGTGGATAAGATGTTCCACTCATATTTTGTAAAATGAAAGTAATAAAATTTCGAAATAAAAATGAATGATTGTGTTTTATTGATGATATAGAAAATCAGACAAAATGAAGTTAACAATGAGTAATAGATAAGAACGCCAAAGCAACCGTAATGAGAGAGTTCGAAGCACAATAGATAATGATAACGATAGGCGAACAATGGGACGTTAAGTAATGTAACGATAAGCAAACAAAGGAACGTTAATGAGGGTTCAGAAGCTGATTCTGATTTTCATAACTCCAGAACCACGCATCCTACGCTAAAACGGACTGCAGAAACGTGATCAGAGCATGCCAAAACCTAGGATAGCATACCAAACTTTTTTTTTTTTTTTTTTTTTTTTAGGTTTGGTGCCACTCAGATTTTGGATTCCGGGTGATTAGCTGGTTCTGGCGCTTGCGCCAGAACCAGCTAATCACCACTACTGGCGCCCTACACTACGTTTACCTGGTGTGTCGACGTGGTCTCCACTCTAGAACACGTTTACCCCAGCGGTCATCGTTATACTTCACCTATAAATATATAATATAATGATCTGTATTATTATTATTATTTGCAGGTACATGGTAGACGCGGCGGACCCCGACAAGATCGAGGCGTCCCGCAACGAGCTGCACAGCTTGCTGGAGAAGCAGCAGCTGACCGGCATCCCCGTGCTCGTGCTCGGCAACAAGCGGGACCTGCCACACGCACTCGACGAGCACGGACTCATCGAGCGGATGTACGACACTTTGTATTTTTATTTATGTACAAACAACAAAATATTTCGCCTACAAAGTGCAAGAGAAAGATATTGCACAATATTTAAATTGTTTCAAGTTTTCTTCAATCATTGCGAATTTGCCAATATGAAGTTTACTAATGGAGTTCCCATTAGTTGATAACATAGCGCAATATGACTGTTTGTTTTGGAATCACCTAACATAATGTTTATTTTCTGTTCCATATTTTATTCACTGAAAGCAAGCAACGGATAATAAATGGAATAATGTTATGAGCCCCATCCATGTGTAGGGCGAGACCTCCTAGTTACTACAGTGTTAATATATTTGCTCTACCTATAAAATAGTGTGAAAACAGCATTCCACACCTTCTGTCCGAAGACTTATTTCTGTTTGAAAGCAGAAAGTCATTTTCTTCTTTTATGGTCATACATTTTAAGGTTATCTTGCGGGTAACCTGGAACGAAATTTAATAAAAAAAAATTTGGTGTTTTTCCCAGGAACCTGTCAGCTATTCAGGACCGTGAGATCTGCTGCTACTCAATCTCGTGCAAAGAGAAGGACAACATCGACATCACGCTACAGTGGCTCATCGCGCACAGTAAGTCCGGCAGCGCGCGTTAATCGCACACCAATATCGACTCTACGTGCAACACATCTTTAGCACTTAAGGCGCAGTTTTGCCTGAACTTTCTTAGTATTTAATGTTCTTCGTTTACGAAGAAGGAACAAGAAATACTTTCACAACATTGGTGACTTACATTGCACAAAAGCAAAGGTCTTTTTGCTTCGTGAAAAGTCAAAAGACTGGCCTCGCGAAAAGACTAAAAATAAACTTAAAATGCCTAAAAAAATTGGACGTCGACATTAGCAAAATAGGCGGATTTGATCAGAGAAAGTAAGTTTTCTTTGATTAAGTGTGTCTATGTATCTATATTTGGCTACGAGACTGAAACAGGACATTCGAAGAGACTGCCAAGTATACTCATACTTCACATGACTATTTCCCGACTCCCGGTTCGTTAAGAAAGATTCGTGGGAAGTGAACTGCGCCTTATAGACTGTGCTCTAAGAGATGACCATGTTGCATTATATTGTAAGTTGCGATTACAATGGCATAAAATACTTTATCACAACGTATCTTACGAATATTATAAATGTGAAATTCACGATGTTTGGTTGTTTGTTACTCAATCACGCCAAAATGGCTGGACGGATCTGGATGAAATTTGGCACAGGCATAGGATACACTCCTGATCAGGACATAGGCTACATTTTATCAACATACCAGGCAGGCGATGCCGCGGGCGGAAGCTAATTAAAAAATATTAAAAGTAGGATTCGATAATACGTGTTGAATGCATTGTTGAGAGACTGACGTCTATCTCGCTTTAAAACCAGACATTTTAATTTTAAAACGGTTTTATTAGGAAATTATTAGTCTTGCCGAAAGTATTTATGTTTGATTGCGTTGTGTATAAAGTGTTTACAAAGCCAATCGTGTCGTGATAAATAAATTTAGCTCGAGTAATGCACTCTCTAAAACAAATGTTGGATGTGGTAAATTATCTTGTCACAACAAAACAATTGGCTTCAATATGTTTTCATTATTTGAAAATGGTGCCAAGCTGTAATTTCATTTGTTAATATCATATAAATTATTATAATAATTATTATTTACATTTTAATATTTATTGTAATGCAATAATTATGTGAAAAGATAATGTTGTCACATTACAATTATGTATGTACGGTAACATCTAAAGTATAGTTTCTTTTAGATTAATTTATTGGTAATATATGTTTTTACTTTTCCCGTTGTCGTTACTTATATAAAACTTGAATATGTTTTAATAGTAACTATCATGGGATAGATACACTAATAGTTTCAAGTCAGAGCGGGATTCTCATTGATGAAACTAGTAGAGCTTTTTTCAGTTAATTCACGTGAATAAATCGTTATTATCAATAAACTTTTGATGTCTCACGATAAATAAATAAATGTATTAAAAATAAAGACTAACACCCGGTTTCCGAAAGGGCGATTAATGTTAAAATCAATTTAATCTCTTGTCAAGTCTCTGTCTTGTCAAGTTGACTGAATTATCAACAACCAATCAGATGACTTGACAAGAGATTTAACAGGAGATTAGTTAATTTTAGCGTTGACAAGCCTTTCAGAAACCGGGTGTTATTCACGTTTATTAACTGAGATAACTAGTACCTAGTACTAGTTTGAAAGTACTACGCGCACACTGCTCATGATTAAGAGTCCCGTTGCGACTTGAAACTATAAGAGCTGTTCCCAGTTACTTCACGTGAGTAAGTCGTTTTTTTTTTAAATCACGAATAGTTATAATATCACACACATTGAACTTAAAATTAAACCTGAACATATCAATTGTATCGCGTTTAATTTACAGTATAATATTATATCTTTAAGTTTCTATATTTTAGATGGAGTACTACCCATAGTCTATCATGTTAGACTACTTAGATTCCTTAATAATATTAGCGTTATATATTATAAATATACTTATCTCATATTGTTAGCTAAAAATATAAGTTTAAAGGTATATAATGTGCGAATAATTTTGTTGTTCAAACTTTAGACCCAACCTGTATATAACATGAATGATGTACATGAAGTATGTATAAATTTAAATGAACTGTTTTGAGGTATGAACACAATATTTTACGAGAATTTTCTATGCCAGGACCAAGAAGTCGTAAGTAATAACACTCTTTAGATGACGTGCTTAAGAGCGATAATGTGACACGGGATCTCATACAAAGTTTTTAGTGTTAAAATCTTAGAAACTGCTGAACCGAATTTAATGAGCCTTGGTACTCATATGCAGTGTATTAAGGTCTAAAAATCTAATTACACAGGCTGAGAGGGACAATTTAAGTCTTTATTCAAATGACTAATTACTGCTCACATAAACAATATTTCCAAATTGTTTTTCTTTAAGTTTAGTAGAGTTTGATATATTATTGCGTATGATTTATAGGTTTTATTAAAAACGGTTCATCATTATCAGCATATAAATGTAGGGCATTTTGCTGAGCAAAGCCCTCTTCTGCCACAGGGGAAGGTTTGAACAGTAATCATCGCGCTTGTTCAAGGCGGATTGGCGATTTCAAACTTATAATTAGGAATAATAAGTCCAGGTTTTTGGATTTGAAAGAATGTGTGCCACATTAACGCTTTTAACGATTTGCAGATATAGAACCAAAGGCGCATCGACCTAGAAAAGTAGATCGTTTAGGCTTGTGATAAAGATTATTTTCAATCGTAAAATAGTGTCTTCATGACTCAAAAACGAAATGATCCTATTTATTTATGTCATCCAACAAAATTATTCATACACTAGCAATGTTTTGTCGAATATAGAAAGTCACTAGATGTGTAATTAATTGAAATTGAAAACCCGCTTCGACTGCACATTATGTTTATATATAAATAAACTTTTATATAGTTATATCTTGTAATATACATAGATTTGACAGGAGATGTTGGAGTTTGGAATTCTTACTACGGGCGCTGGTATTGAGAAATGTTTATAATAAAAAATATATTGAAAACATTGTACAAGCTATTTAGCACACTAGCGCCAAATCAAGATGTAACCTCTTTGCTGGAAGAGTGTCAGAGTATAGAGTTAACAGCGTTTAGTATTATTTAATTACAAACATTATATTTGGAAGATTATCTCAAATAGTTTCACTGAACAATTGTTATTTTTTTACCAAAATATTATTATTTATTTATCTTCAAATATGTAATAATCAACGAAATTTGATTACCTTTGTACGGACTAGGTTAGTCAAGAATTATAACCATAAATATTGAAATTAAATAAATGTTATATAATAATCGTTATAATCGGAGTTTTCAACGGAAAGACAATACCAGTTTTAAAATTTATTTGCACTGCGTAAAGAAAGCCATACCACGCTCAAAGAAAGCCTGTTTAGGCACTATGTATGGCGGTCTTTGCGAATAAATTACTAATTGGTTTTCTTGTACTACTAATAGCAGTTGCTAATTATATCATGAGATTTTTTATCTGATTTGACAATCATAGTTTTATTTTATTTAGCTCTCTTGATCCTTGGCAATAGTAATAATCTTGGCCAGAATTCATTGTAAATTAGCGCCAAGTGAACCAATCTTATAAGGTACGTAGCATTCCAATTTAAATTAAAAATTATTTGAGGTATTTGTTCAATTATAATTGTTGTTATATTATTATTTTTTATATAATGGTGCGTTTATATCGTATGGCTGTAACTTATCTTTTTCTATAAAATAATATAACACACGCAAAGATGTAATGAAAATCAAAGTGTCTTATTTTAACATAGCCTTTATAGTAAAATTCAATCCACACTGCGCAGAATCGAAGAGTTAATCAGGATGAAGGTTACTACTGACATTTATTTCATAGCAAAATCACTTTTATATCCACAAAGTAACGTACATTTTCCCTTCCAGCATAAAAGTCACTGAGGAGCGCGAATAGTTTGGTTTTATGTCCCTGGAAATAATGTTATTATGCGGGGATAAGGGTGTTTTTGCCGTGACATTTCGTACTGACGCCCTAATGCGTTTTGATTCTGCGCTAATGTGGATTGGTTCTAAGGATTGTTGATCATTTGCTCAGAATAACGCTGTTACAACATATTTAGCAGGAATTTTGACCTTTATACGCTATATGCTTCTTCATAAACTGGTTCTATTGCCAAGAAAAGTTTGTTAATAATTGCAAAAACATTGCAAGTTCCTTCGATATTGTTTGAAGACGATTTTAATTTAAAAATCAATACCTTCAACTTAGCTTACATTAAACGTTGGATTAGTCTGATGTAGATTGTTTGTAAACATTTGTAGATTTTCGAACAAAATAATTTATAAAGTAATTTAAGGCCTTTTGCTATATATAATTGAGTTTAATTTAGCTTGCCTGTTGAAGACGGTCTCTGTAATTCGAGTTTGGTTCTGCTTTTATACGAATTTCACTATAATTGCAGTTTGTACGTCAGTGCAGTTTATTTTTCTACCTCGTCCGAGGTTAATGAATTAGGCTGAATCACCAAGAAACCGGATGTTTCTTACTTTTTAAGTTTATTAAAATAAAAGGCATGAATTTGAAGAAAACCCAGAGTTTTTTACTTATTCTTACTTAGGTTAGCTATATTTTGTGTAAACACAATTTATAAATTAAGATATTGAACTTTATTTGCCAACAGTTATGGCTATTCTTCCTATGACGACGACCAACGCCTCAATTTTTATTGATTTGACCTTTTAGCCATGTCATTATCTTGTACCTGGAGTAAAAAAATACAAAATAGGGACAACAGAATGTCCCACCCGAATTCCTATATCACGTCTTATCACTTTATCTAATAAATGTTTCGCTAATGCAGCCAGAAATGTCCTCAAGCCGTATTTGAAACAGAAAGAGCCAATAGACCACTACGGATGGGTATAAAAAAGTTAGCACCGCGAATGGAGCCCTACGCAGTAAAGTAACGCGGCATCTGACTTAGAGCAGGAGAAGGAACGGGGGCCTAAGGAAGGGGCGGGGGGTTGGTCAGTAAGAGTCTGACACTGCTTGTTATACCCTAGACGAAAGAAGCCATTGCCATTAGCAGAAGGACAATAGCACCCATTGATGGTACTTGTCGCGCTCGCTGTCTGGGACACCTAGTAATAATACTTATACCCTATTTGAAAAGTTATTTACATAGTTTTAATTTTGTCACACAAGATGTTATTCATCGATAAATGATTACTTATAGATACAATCTACTTACATTATCAACGTCTGCAGTGTCGTGTATTAGATTACGAGTCAATTATCTACTAATTCTGATGCAGCATATTTATTTTATTTAGGTACGCATTAACGTTGTCTGGGGCCTTGGTGAAGTATGTTTTTTGTAATTTTTCGGCAAATGAGGGCATCACCTGATAGTAAGCAATCGGCGCCGCCCATGAGCACCTGTAACACCAAGGGAGTTGCAAGTGCGTTGCTGGCCTTTTGGGGATTAGGGTTTCGGATATTTAAGGATTGGGAAGGGGCACACATTTCACTCATGAATCCTATTTAGGTAGGTAAGTTCGTGAGTTCCCACAGTGCTGGCGTCAGGGGGGGGGGATGGGGGGTAATGGGGCGATGGCCCAGGGCGACAAATTCTGGGGGGCGCCAAGGTCTGAAGTTGGAGTCTCGTGCCTCTCCTAGTGCAAACACACTCAGAACTGTGAAGTAACAGTAATGTGAAGTCAGATAGTATTAGTTAATCAAACTTTTTGGTCAATTCCAGTCACCATCCCATATTTTGATGACTGGCCTTCTCTCAGTTGTGCTTTTTAACCTCATTCAATCAGTCATTCCGTCTCTTTTCCTCACTGAGGGAATTATTTTGTTGCGGGAGGCAAGACAGATGTTTATGTTTTCTGGGAAACGCCGTGTTTCGGTGTTTTCATTGTTCTGAAACTGAAGATCCTGGTTTACAGGAACAACTGTTGTGAGAAGTTAAAACGGGCTGGTTAAGTTAAAAAAAGCATCGGCCTCTTTTACGAGCACCTACTACAAGACTTTTCCATCATAAATTGCTTTATTCATATGTTTGAGTTGTCACAGGCGATGGCGCTGTTTTGTCGCTATTGAGACCTCATTGCCTGACACTCTAGAGAAGTTATTGCACGATTTTATCAACCACAAAACAAAAGCACATACTTACGTTTTTACCTAAATATTTTAAAATTAGAATACTAAATCAGGCTGGTGTTTGCTATCTAAAGAAAGCATCGATAAACTCACGAGGTCAAACTCTTTAAATCCGAGTTTGTTATAAATAAATGTTGAAGTACTTTTTTAATCATATTATGATATCATAAAGAGTACGTCACACAGCGATCTAGTGTGAATATTAATAAGTACCTATTATACGTAGATACGATCAAATGCATGCTGAATTAAGTACCTTTTACTTACATATTATATTATGATAACCGTTACATTTTTTCTACAATGTTCATCGCTTCTTTTAGTAGGTAGGTACTTCAAACATTTTGGAGGTATGTAAGTAGGTATTAATCATGAAGTCAGCTCTATCTGGAGGAGATCAGAGGAAAAAACTGTGCTGAAAAAAACTGACTAAATAAAACACATCGGGGAATGGCACCCATGCTTATTTAAGCAAAGATTATTTGCTATGCGAGGCAGAAAGTTTGATAATGTTCCAGCTGACTGTGTTTTTTTATACAAATCATGCCACGAAGCTGAAAATCAATGAAATAGTATTATCAGGAGAAGAAAGAAAAACAGAGTTATTATTAAAATAAAAATATTTAATTAAAATAGATCACAATTGTATAAAAAAATAATTCTTTAAATAATTTTATTGTTTTGACTTAGGAAACTATTCGATACCCTTAAGACGCTTAGGAGCTCTATATTCTAAGGTTACGTTTTCATCTTTCATTTCTTAATTGTTAATGTTAGGTACATCTAGATGCAACTGCATAATTGGCAATATGCCCATGTGTACACAGTTGTATATAAAATAAATGTTCGACAACGGAACAAATATTTACCTAAATCTATTTTGAGGTTTGTTTATAACAAAAATATAAGTAAATCGCATTTACAAAATTGGTGGGAAATGTCGCGATGTAAATGATTATTAAATTTTAATGTTTTTATCAGCTACAGCTTAATAGTGTAAAATTGCTTGAGAAAATCTCAAACTCATAAGTTCAGCCAAGCATCATAATAAAATACTTATTAAATTTCAATTTAATTGATCTGGATCTAGATCAGATTATCCAACTGAACTACGTGACAATTGTGACTGACTTAGAGCCATTTCAATCCTGTTCATTCTACGTTCTAATAAACTAACTCTGTCTCCTAGCCTCTTCATTTTACCTTCTAGCTCTTCAATCTTCTGGTCACTTGCGTTATTATAACGCAGTGAGTCGAGTTCGTCCGTCAGTGCTCTCAATTGGCTGGACAAGGCACTGTCTGGGGGACACGAATCAAGAGAAGAGGCAGAAGTACTCGTCGTTAGTGGCTCCAGTTCCCCGTGTTTCAAATAAAACTCAGACTTTTTAAACTCTCTCATTTCCTCTGCAGTCAACAATGCTCCGACAACCTTTTCGATATCATTCGCGTCAATAGCTACAATTACATTCTTTAGTTTGTGGCAGTAAATCTTCTGCAAGCTTTCCTTCAGTCCAGCAATCAAGTTGTGGTTGCAGTTCCAAAAGAAGGGAATTTCTTTCTTCTGGATAGAGAGGTACAACTCCTCTACCATCGTTCGGAATAGCAGACTGACTTTGTTCTGCCAGTAAACCTTGTCTTGCGTTTCGTACACTTTCTTTAGGAAGAGTGACTTGATGTAATAGCTAGCGATAGCTTTCAACTCGAGCGCATCTCGTAATTTCTTCACCTGTAATTAAGTATTATAAGTGTAATAAGTGTTGGAGAGCCAGGCTTCGGCACGAGTGGGTCGGCTAGACTAAAGTTATAACCAGAACCTCATAGGAAAAGTGAAACAACCATAGCGTTGTGTTTCGCCGTGTGATTGAAGTTACCGTAGGTCAAATCCTTCCCCTCCCCTAATCCCTTCTTTTTCAGTCGGGAACGCACTCGTAGCTCCTCCGTTGTTGCAGCGCTGATTGCTTACCATTAGAAAATCCGTGTGCTCGTTTGCCGTCCTATCACATAAAAAAAACAATTATTTCAAAATGTTTTGATATAACAATACTTGCTTATCTACCTAGGAGTTTCCTGTTTATTTATTTTGAGAAATATCTTACCAGTCTAATAGTTTTCTTCAACGCTTTACAGTCTTTGATAATTTCCCTCTCCTGTTCTTGGAAGGAGAGGCGCCAGCAACGGTTCTTTAGGGTGCTGTCACTTAAAGCCTTGTTAGGCTTGGGAACGACTAACCAGTCCTTTGCTTGAAGTCCTTCGATTACTCTAAAATAATGCTATATTTAGTTCATCCTGGAGTCCATACAACATGTATTTCACTTGTTACTAATTTATTAGGTACTGAAAAATAATTGGTGGCACTGATTGCTTATTATTTTTTCACCAGCATCTTACTACTTAGTACATTTCATTCTCTAACAACGCGAAGTAGATACTTAAGGCTGTGCTCAAGGTCAACAAAAAGTTTTGGAATAATATTGAGCTATGTAGGTACTATTATTTAAAATATTATAAATATCTAACCTGTAACCTTCGGGTGCGCGAGGATACATGAACTTAATAACAGGTACCAAGTCTACATCCAGAGCATACTTTTCAGTACCCTCGTCGTTTCTGATGTTAAGCGTGTAAGCCGGTCCTGATTCTTTATACGTCAGCAAGTATACGTCACCGTCCACTGTCACCTTTCCCTCCATAGCATTAAGGGCTTTCTGCACAATCTTGTGCATCCATTGACGAAATCTTTTCTGTAGTAAGTACTTGTCTGAATCCCGCCACTCTCGCGTCACTTTATGTGTCTTCTCCCAGTCAGGCTGCTTGTCTAAGTTATCAAAAGCACTCGTGATCTTCAGCTTAACAAACCCTGGCTCTTCATTCTCAATGATGATGTCCGAATAACTGATTGGTAGCCGAATTACGATATCCATGTCGAATTCATCCATCTTGCCCACTTTAATGTTATCGGAGACACTTCCTCCGTACATGACCTGATTGATGCAACATGGTCAATTATTGTTCGTGCTTCTAACCACAATGTGTTAGACATGGCGTCCCGTCGTAGCTCTATAAAAATACTATAAATCGAATTTCAATACATACATACGCTTTAAGACTACCTAAATGCTATTTAATTCATAATTTACGAACAAATAATTGTTGTAATATGTGCTTTTAAAAAAGACCGAATAATTTAGGACAAATACTTTTTAGTGTACCTATTGCACCTACACAACGATAAAAATGTTTAGATAAAGTCCAATAAAACATTGCCCGCTTAGAAGCACCTTTATCATTATCAGTTTACCGGGTCTGCGGGGTGGGAGGATTTTTAGTCAGTAAGAGTCTGACACTCCTTCCTGCTCAACCCTGGGCGGGAGAAGTCATTTGATGATTTTTTCCTTACAAAAAAAAAATCACATCAATTTAATTTCCTAGCAACGAGTCTGTGTAAAATGTGAACTAAATAGCTTTCAACCCTATAATTTTATTATGAATGTATGTACATATGATATTTGACAAATAATGACTTTTATAAATTAACGGGACAAAAGTTAACAGAAACTACATATTTACCTGACTGCTGTATTTCTTAAAATAATTACACTGTTCGCCCATCTTTTGTTTGACCTGATCGAAGACCGTTTTGAATACATTCTGTGACTTCTTGAAATCATCATCTTTGATTGAGATGAACTGCTTGAACACTTCCCCGAGGTACAAGTCTAAACTTCTCTTTTTAGAGCTCATGATTCACTGAAACAAAGAAACTTTAATGTTTTACACACACTTAGAATATTTTATAAAGTTGCGTTAGAAAATACCAGAATCTATTTGGGCGATTTAAGATTGCTGTTATGTTTAATTAATTGTCTGGCGACAATTACTTGTGCCTCTAGTACAAGTAATTATTTTTTAATTGTGATCCTTCGCTAGCGTCGGTTACTGTAAAAGAAACCCCTACTCCTTGGTCATCTGAATCCAATACGTTTTGTATTTGGCAAAAAACAATAACAATAATACTTAGGAATAAATTAAACCACAATATCGTAAAATACGTATTTATATAGGTATGTTCTTATACAATCGTCATAGTTGCGTTGTTATCCTTATATTTATTTACATTATTACATTATAACTTCAAAACAATATACCAGTGTTAGGCGAACTCAATGCTGTAACTTAAGGCATTGTTGTCAGGTTGTTACACAATATAGCGTCACGCTTTTTTCCTAAAATTATTTCACAAGACAGAATGCAACATAACATTACGTCAAAGCCAGATACAATAAAATTTACTATTAAGTACAATGTAAACCCCAATTTTCATAAGTTATGTAATGAGATCGATGATTTTTGAGGAGAGAAATCATCGAATTATTCCTCGGAGTTGAAGTGTTGGTCTCTTACTAAGAATAACCCTGTTACAACTCCTGTTTCGACGCGGCAGCGATAAGTGATTACTCTTAACCGCAGCCTTGGCCTTCGAGGCTTTGGTGTTTCTAGTCACTCTTCAAAGAGAAGTCTTTAAACTGCGATAGCAGCAAGCCCGGCCCTCAGTAGTGACGGTCGTTGCTTCCACTCCACCAAGATATCGCACCAGAACTAATCCCGCCAGGCGTAAATTCATATTTTTTAAATAAATCGATTTAAATTACGTCACATCAAAACTGAAGAAAATTATCTCACCAATCTTGACGCTACGCAGGCAACGAAATAGGTACCTACTCTTTGTGAAAAACCACTAGGAAATTAAAGCAACTCATACTCGCCTCCCATACATAGGTCAGACAATTCATGAGCCAATACAGTGATTGAGAAATGACTAAAACATTTGCCTCGCACTTGGAAGAGGTGTTTAAACCGAACGAAAACAAAGATAAATTAATTTAAGTGTCGGAGAGCTTCGGCACGGCCTCACAGAAAACCGGCGCGAAACATCAGCGTTGTATTTTGCCGTGTGAGTAAGGTAACCGAAGGCCCAATCCTTCCCAATTCCCAATATCTCCAAATCCCTAATCCCCAAAATGTCGACAACTCACTCTTTGACTTCTGCGTTGTTGCGGCGGCGCTGATTGTTTACCATCAGGTAATCAGTCAAGTAGTTTGCCGTCCTATCACATAAAGGTACAATATCAAATATTGTTAAATAAACTCTATGAAATAGGCATCCGCGGGAAAACACATGACTGGTTTAACTCATATCTGAAAAACGGGACACAATTTGTAGAGTTAGAATACTTCAACAAAAAAACAAAAGAACTGCAAACTTACCGCTCCAATAGCAAAACAGTAACTGCCTCAATACCTCAAGGAAGTGTTATTGGGTGCCTTCTTTTTCTCGTTTATATAAACGATCTTCCTACAACCTTAGAAGGAACTGGCCCTTGTATCTTGTTCGCCGACGATATATCGATAATCACACCCTGCCATGAAATTACAACTATTGATTCCACCCTTAAAAATATATTGACTAAAACAATAACCTGGATGGATGCACATAATCTCGAAGTTAATTTTGAAAAAACTAAGATTATAACATTTCACCCTCATCAAAAAAAGCCGCTTTACTTAAACTTCTCTTTTAACAATCACAAAATACAACAAGTTAACGAATTTACATTACTAGGAACAACAATAGACACAAACTTAAATTGGAAATCGCACGTACAAAAAATTAAATCAAAATTATCAAAATTTCTATATGCTCTACGTGAAATTAAGAAGACAACAGACTTAAAAACGGCTCTAATTACCTACTACGCCTATGCGCATGCATGGCTAAACTACGGCATAATAATGTGGGGAAATAGCACCGACGCACCAGCCCTATTCACATCGCAAAAAAAACTAATTCGAACAATAGTTAACATAGAAAAAACGGAAAGTTGCAAACCACATTTCATAAAGTTAAATATTCTTACCATACCTTCATTATACATACTGGAAATCTGTAAATTTGCACACATACACACAAAAATTTTTACACTACACGTGAGGACATACAGACAAAATACACACTTCGACACAAAACACGCCTAAACTTACCATCATCCCGATTACAAATACACTCATCAAGCCCACTAGTCATGTCTATAAAAATTTACAATAAACTACCCGAAACACTGAGAAACGAAAAAAAGACACATTTATTTGCCAATAAACTCAAAAAGCTCCTTCTAAGCAAATGCTACTATAGCGTCAAAGAATATCTGGACGATAAAAAGATAGCCTAATTATTAATTAATATATAAATAATTTGATATAAATACCTATTATTGTACCTAATTATATGTAATGTTATTAAACTTATGTATACCTTCTTTTGCTATGCCCTATCAGGGTCCATAACATGTACCTAGATTTAAGATCTTAACATCTTTGTAACATTATGGTATGCAAACAATGACGTATTATATATAGACACGTCATGAACCAACATCGCGGCGCTTAAAAACGGCGAAAATACTAGATAAATACTAGATAAATACTTCTACGAGTAAAGAAAGGGAAAGAAAATATGACATCGTGTAGTGGAATGCCTTTGCTAGAGGGAGATAAATATACATCTTCAGTTATGCCGACGGCACGTGACCATACCTTCATTCGCCGGCCGCCATAAGATGGCGGGCGCCGGCGTCGGAAAAAATAAAATAAAAATAGGTTGTTTGGTGAACTTACGCATGAAATTACACATTTTTGTCTTTAACTTTTGGAGTATAATTTGTACATCGTCTGAACACACACAACGACATACTTTCTTTATGTTTCGCACAGGTTTCACACACGATATAAATTAAAAACAAACGTAGCGTCGCGCGGCAGGTTGGTGCGTAACTAAGCGCGATGTTGTCAATTGCCTTCATTTCATGTTGTCATTTTAGAGCGCGGACGACGTATCTATAGTTTTATACATCATTGTATGCAAATAAATAAATATGAAATATGAAAAATAAAAAAAGATCCCATTGACAAAGTAAATGATTTTTATATAAAAAAAAGAATTTATTGAAACTGTTTCTAAATCAATATCTCCATTTCACCAGCTTGACCTTATTTTGAATAAATTTATCTAAACTGAGGTGCGTGACGCCTTATCAAAACCACATTAAATGCGGCATTTCTAGATAAATCTCAGGCGTTCGACAGAGTATGCATGTGGGTTATCTTCATAAAATAAATACTTGCAGTAAACTGCTTTTCATTTCTAAAATCATACTTAAACAAACGCCATTCTTTGTAAAACAAGCTCAAGATACTTCAGATCTCCAGAAAACTTTTCTTGTGTTCCCTAGGGTAGCACCTGGGGTCCAACATTGTACTTATTGTTCACATCAGATTTAGGTACCAGTGACTGAAGGTCCAAAGGCGATACATTTGCTGATGATACAGCTACTCTTTTGGTGGAGACAGTGTCTCCTAAAGCATCGTATCAGCTCCAAGAAAGCCTGAATTACATCATCGTGGCTTAAAATGATTAAAATCATCCATATGTTGCCTAGGACAAATAAAACCGCCCATTGTAATCTCATGATTATTCACATTATTTTATTGTATCTGAAAATATTTCTGTTTTAGGTAGGTATGTATGCAATAAAGTACATATTATGTATAAATAAGTCATTGCGTAGCACCTACATACTGAGCAAAGAGATTTGCCCAACTGTCTTATAAAATAATGTTGTTATATGTACCTTACACTGATAGCTGAAGCAAAATATATTGGACCACATTTTGATAGATGACTTACAAGGAAAAAGTTCATTTATTTAGTGTAAAGTTCTTGGCATACTGCACAGAAAATTTTACTGGGAAAGTACTAAGTAAAAATTTCAAGCTGTCACTTGATAGAAAATTTTATTAAAAGCCGCTGTGAATGTATGGAATTAAGTTGTGGGGCACTGCAACTAAATCAAATCTAGAAATATTGCAAAGATTTCGAACTCAGATATCAATCTCTTAAGAATAATCACTGTCTCACAATGGTATATGACAAATCAAAGGTTGCACAATGATTTAGGAATTCCAATAATTATGGAAGAATTAATGAAAGTGATGCCAAAATACAGGGATCATATAGGTCAGTAAGATATACTAAGCCTGCTACAGGGCTGATGAAGCCGAAAATCATATTCTCAAGGATCAGAAGGAAACATCTATGAACAACACAACATCGGAGAATATCCTAGAGTGGGGCAACATTCTAATGTAAAAAAAAATTACAAATGTTCTCTACATTTTAGTGGCTATGTAGTTAGTGGTAGTAAGTGGAATGGATCACAAAGAGTTGCAATAATAATAAACATATAGCAGTATATCCACGAGGAGATAAAATGTAATATAACAAAATAAAAATAATTTTATAAGGAAAGTATGGTTTGATGTAGGTACCTATTGATTTATCTAATAGGTATGAAAACTAATCGAAGAAATTTTATTTATCAAACTATATATAGGTTACACTAATATAATATTTCATTGTAATAATTGGAAATACAAGGGTCTGTCTGTTATATTTGCAGATTAATTCTGTTGCAATTTTGACATACTTATATCGAAATCTTTTGAATATATGTATTATAACAATCATAAATGAAAAAGTTTTTGTAATCAAAGGCTTAAAAATAGCAATGTTTAATTTTCTTCTAGTTAAAATTACTTAATTATTATATTGTCAATGTTTTGATCTGATAGAAAACATTTCTATTTTGATCATGTTGAGTTAATTTTTAGCAATTTGTATAATTGTGACATAAATACTGTTATGTTCTAGCAATGTACCTACTATTACAAAGCACATAAGTAGGCTTTTAAGATATGAATTTGTAGATACATATCTATCTGACCGCCCCATTGCATTGATGCCAAGAATTTAGAAAAAATTGAGCCAGGCGTTGTTGAGTATACACTTATCAACACATTTTGCAAATAATGTTTATTTAGTGTAAAATACATATAAAAATAGAAAAAATAATCTAAGTGCCTGTGTACAATATCTGGACAGCCACTACATAAACAAATTTGAATATGGAATGTAATTTGTATGAACTATGTGCAACATAATAACTTTATCGAGACTTATATATAATGAAGGTGACGAAAGAGACCTCAACGTCGTATTAAATGAATGAATTTACGTTAAAATATTAAATAGTTTCAAAACAAACCTAATAATTTTACTTGCTTTGAAGATAAAATAGGTATGTTGTTGGTTATAAAAATACAAAGTTAACTCCTAAACTAAATTGATGCAAATAATACTTGAAAAGATTAAGAATTATTAAGTACATTAGGTATTTTCTTCATACAATTCAGTAAAAATAAACTCACCAGTTTGAAATGTTCCACTTTGTGCATTGACTCATTAAGTAATGTAATATTTTAACAATTCCTCCACACACAATTGCAAACTTTCGACCTTGAAACTAAATTGTTTCATGTTTCCACTTTCCACTTCAAAGCCAATGCAACTTATAAATAGACACTTGAAAAATCGGGAATTCCTGAATTCATAATATAAATAAGATTCATATAGTGTGGACATTACTAAAAAATCTAAAGTTATTGTTACCACAGTTGTACTCAATTCTAACGATGTGACCATCATAGTCAAATTCAATAATTTTGACGATTTAGGTACCTAACCTACTTATTTTACTGAGAGAACTTATTTTTTTCTGCATAAAAATTGCTGAATAAACATGTAGCCTTCATCATCCCTCGGAGAATAAGCAAGCAGCTATGATTTGGGGATTTCTTTTTTATTTAGTTATTTTTGCTGAAACTATTGTTGTTGTACATAGTTTACTTAATTCACTCAACTAAATATTATCTACTTTGTTTGCCTTCAATATAACTTCCAAGAAAAGAGATATATAAAGAAAAGCATAGAACTTTAGGGTATTCCCATGACCGCAGGTTTTTTTTTAGCTGGCAGCACCAATACTAATATCCGAACAAAAACATGCATTGACTTAAAAAATAAATGCATAAATATTTATTTTAAGATAGTTACACAAACAGAATAACGTATATTTTGAATTTAAGGATAAAGAAATGTTATTATTGTATTTTAATTTCGTAAATAAAATTGTGTATATCACTTAGTAAACGCAGGGACAATATTAAAATGTTTCCAGAATTTTCTAGAACCTTATCAACTATTCAAGTTTTATAACAAACTCTCAGGAATCCCCTAAATCGCGAAGTGTTGCCACTTAATTTTTGTTACCATTTCGTCAGTTTTACGAGACAGTAAGTTATTAGTATTAAAATTACAAATGTTATGAAACAAATTAGAAAACGTTAAATGATTCGTTGTTTTTTATTTATTTTTATGAAATCCATCTTTACAGAGGATAATTACGTGCATTTTGTAGCAAGAAAGTAGTACTATCAGTAGTATTTAAAATTCACGTGTGTAATCACCGAAATGATAAAAAATGGATAAAAGTTGAAGATTTTGCTTTGTACCAACGCAGTTTTACGTCCTCGTTGAAGTGTTTGTGTTGAATTATAAATTGGAAGTTTGAATTGTGCATTGAGTAAACAAATACACACATAATATTAAGTAGGTAAGTATAGTAATTCTATAGGTATTTTACTTGAGTTTCAAGTTTAATTTATTAAGAAATTATGTTTAAAATTGTATTTTGACTATGTGTGTAGACTTTTTGTGAGTTTATTTTATTTGAGTTCAAAATCAACATGAGTAGGATCTCTTTTGTATGTACCTATTTATTCACAATCCATATCCAATCAGCACACATTGTTGATGTTTCAATTTAATTTATTAGGCCCTGTATTTGTGTGTATGTGTGTTATACAGGATGTGGGAAATAGGTAGGTATATACTCTGGTCTTTCAAAATTACAAAAAGATTATATTCGCGAAACTATTAATAAGTACGGTATACGGTACGGTAATGTGTGCCTAAAACAGTTTGTATGTTAGACATACAATGAATTATGGACTCTGTCGGGCACAGCAGTGATTTTTAATTATTGTCAATCACTCGCGCCTGTCTTTTGTATAGGTAACTTACTGGATATTTATGTAGGTACACCTATATGTATCTATTGATTTAATGTATTGAATTATATAGCATTTGGAGGAAGTAGGAACGTTTACGTTTCAGATAAGTTTTTATGCATATAACAACTTTTCTATTACAGTAAAATGAATAATAACAACAATAATAATAATAACGGAAATGGTGGATGGGGGCCCTGGGCGGTTGCTACTGGTGTAGGCGTGGCTAGTGCCTTAGTGGGTGCCATGTATCTACTGAGTGGCTCCAAGAAGAAGGAGCCTGAGCCAGAGGATCGCGGCCCACAAGCCCGCAATGTTGAAAACAGGCTAACGAGTGCTCATAGTACCTCTTCCAACAACTCCAAAGTCACATCCGTGCCTTTATACCCTTTTGATTTGATGGAAAGACTGATGACGTCTCGGTAAGTCCTATATTTTTTTTGTGTTATGTTGGCAAACGACCTAACGGATTGTCTGATGGTAAGCAATTAGTGCCGTCCATGGACATCCGCAACGACTGAGGAGTTACGAGTGCGTAGCAGACCATTTGGGGATTAGGGATTTGGAGATTTTAGGAATGGGGAGGGATTGGGGTAGGGGAAGGATTGGACCTCCGGTAACCTCAGTTAATGGCGAAACACAACGCTGTTATTGTGTGTATTTTAAAAACAACTTCATCTTGTCTGAATCTGATTTTTTATAAAATAAATGAAACCCGAGGAAAAATCTAAAGTTCTTGTTTTAACGAGAACTTTTTTTAGTTGCTAGTGCCCCGACAAAGTTATTTTTTGTATTATTTCTATTCTATATATATATATATAAGTCATATACATTGGCTATGCAGAGGTCTTACATTGCCACACTTGGTGTCTGTGTGTGTTTAGTAATTTAAGAAAAGGATAGATCACTTCCCGTTGTCATAATGGTTGGGTATAATACAACTTATATACCTACCTACAGAAAACCGGGGTGAAACCACCATAACGTTGTATTTCGCCGATTGAGTGAACTTACCGGAGGCAAAACCGCTGCTCCTCCCCATCCCTCACCAATCCTTAAATATCAGAACCTCATAGTCCCAAAATGTAACTCCTTTGTTGATGCGGTTGTACATTGGCGGCGCCGATGGCTTACCATCTATGATGTATAAAACTATTAGTATTATAATACGTCATTGCTTACCATCAGGTAAACCATCAGCTCGTTTGCCGACCTGTCCCATGACGAAAAACATATCATAATGGTGAAACATCGGGCGCTGTACATCTCAAACGTTAATTTATTTTTTAGCGGAGGCCCGTCCTTCTCTTCCTTGAGTATTGAAGAGGTCCACAACATTCCTGAAAACCCAGTGATTACAAATCTTAACTCGTTACTCTCGGACATTTACGTGAGGTACATAAAGTTGAGTGACTTCGGCACTCACTACAGGGTGTTTGACACGATATTCCAAGCTGTGCACAAAAAGATGAAGGAAGTCGACCCCTATTACCAGAAGTATTCGAGCACGGTGCGTACTCAACTATTTACAATAATGGTTAACTGATATTTAGTTGTCTGTTTACGTAAAACTTTTTGAATAATTTCAAAGTTTTCAGTTTAATTACCACATTATTATGTACCTAGCTGTATGTAAATAACTATTATAATACATGTACCTAAATGTTTGTTTTTACATTTTAGGTCCAGTGTTGCGGCAGTCATTTCGATAATTTACGTATCGATAAACCTGATGAATTTGACATGGACATTGTGATCGGTTTACCTATTAATATCAAAGTCGATCCCTTCAATTCTGACAATAGTGACATCATTCTAGAGGCTAAGTCTCCGGGATACGTCCAGCTCAAGATGGGAGTACAATTTCAGCGACTACCAATGAGGGACAAGGAAGAATGGTTGATCAACAAAACTGCGTACGAATGGAAAGACGAGTCCAACTATCTCCTGCGATCAAAATTCTGTGATTGGTTCAAAAGTGTTGTAAACAAAGCTTTGAATAAATTTGAATGTACTAGTAATGGACGTCCCGTGTACTACGTGGAAGGAGTGCGATATGTAATTGACAAGTCTGAATCTGGACCAGCAATGACGCTTTTAATTAGCAACTCCTCCAGAAACTTCAAATTAGATGTTGATTTGGTGCCGTGTTTCAAGTTCCCGGAGAATCGATGGCCAATCAGCAAGTCTTACCGTGCAATACCCCCGCGTTGTAAGAAGGATTACTGGATGGTGGTTGGGAAGCCGAACAAAGGCTCGCAGTGCTCATATGATCAGTCTCGCTCCTGGCGCATAGCTCTGCACAATCAGGAGCGCGAGCTCATGCATCATTCATACAATTTACGACAAGCTATTCGCCTGGTGAGTACTCTCGATAATACACTAGCACCTAAAGTTAAACCTAATTCCCCATATCTTATACATCTCTCAACTATCTAGTCCTGTAATGAAGTTGAAAATAAGTAGAAAATAATAAGTATTATTTTTAATCTCTGAAGAATTAGAGCTAGGTAGTATATAACCAGGCAGAATTATAACCAGTGTTTGGGTCAGTGCGATCTAAATTGTTGTCGGATAGTTGTTACCTATTTTATTATATAACACGTAACAATTCTGCAATATTTAAAAATCCAACAATATTTATTCCGACTCGGGAATAGCACCGAGATATCCTTCCTCGGCATTCGTTCCACAAACGAAGACCACTAACACTTTTTAATTTATCTTACACAGATCAAGAAACTACGAGACTCGCTACAAATGAAGAAAATAGCGAGTTACTACATCAAAACTTTATTTTATTGGGAAGTTATGGAAATCAACAATCCGGACTATTGGCAGAAGAACAGTCCAGCGACTTTATTTAAGCAGATGGTAGGGAAACTGCATCAGGCTTTAGTGGAGAGAAATATACCTTATTTCTGGAACAAGCAAAATAACCTGATTGGTACAGTACCATCACAAATTTTGGCCAACTATGAGGCCAAGTTGAGGCCCTTGTTGGAAATATTGGAGCAACCATCTCAGTACAAGCTGGTCGCCAAATATTTGTTAACACCGGCAGAATTCTATGACTATAATTCAATGTTTTTACATATCTAAATGGTACTTATGTAGGGTATAGCTAAGAGACATACATAATTATACACTTACATAATCACATACATACATAAATACATACACATACATACATACATACATACATATAAATAACTCATACACAATAAGTCTAAACGTTACACTAACAATCTATAAAAATATTTATTTGTATAACATCTGTACACAGCCTTATACACACGCACGCTTGTACCACAGTATAAATATCATACAGTATTTTAACTCGGCCGCTTGAAAGAAATAAATACCTACAGCCGCGCGGTACGTAAACATGCGTTAGGGCTGCTCGTCTCCAGTATTTTAATTACCTTTATCTACTTTCTGTTTCTATTTAGTTTTGTGATTGTAAATATCCTTTTTTTATATAAACAAATAAAGTGCTTTAAAGATAAACAAACAAAATTTCTTTGGCCACTAATGCCGAACTGAACAGCTGACTACTAATGTTCTACAATCACAACCCTCAAACATCAAAATATTACATGAGTCTAGCTGTTTTATTGTTGTTATTAAATATTTTCTAGTATTATTCATAAACGCAGATAATAAACAAATATTATTAATAATAAAATACCACACTCTCTACTTTGAATTATACAAACTAACAAAACATACATGAACCGTTTTAACACAGCGTAAGTAGGTAGGTACCTAACGTATCATGATTCATTCAGAACCAGAACCGCCTATAACTACCTATTTCACTCGTCTCAATAACTTTATTCATATTATTTATAAATTCAAACATCTGTTTTCGTGAGATAACTGGAAATAATGATCCATAAAGACACACATTATGTACCTACCTAGGCTACTAGTAAGTAAAATTATTTTATAGTCTTACCTTTCAGAGTTTCCAGGTAATTTAAAAAAAACTTATGTCTGGATGCGTTATTAACGAATTCATGCAACCAAACATAATAACAGCACAATATTTCCTATTCGTCATATTAAATAATGTACTCGAGCTAATTTCTAAATAAAAGACAACACACCGTCCGTTCGTCACTGCGGTACAGCCGCGTCTGTCTGCGTCCCGAGCGCGTCCCAACATCGGGCGCGTAGGTATAGTTCGCGTTTCGGCCGTTTGTATGAAGTTGAAATACTTGTAGATATTATTACCTTGCTTGTACACACCCTTAGCTATACCTACCGTCCAGCCGCTAGCGGAGCCCCGGCGCCCGCGTTGCCAAAATACCTAACGTTCGGGGAACCGCTCGGTATACGGCGCGCTGTCGCCGCCTACACCCCGCGCTCACGAGCCGCGCCCCTCGCTCGCCCTCGACAGTCCGCATCGGCCAGCGATCGCGCGCGCATCGCCGAACATTACTCGCGTAATATTTAAGTTAATGTACAAATATCTTATTAACTATTGTATGATAACTTTTGTATTTCAATAATAAACATTTATAAGTTAGTGCGTAGTGTTTAATTTCTACCTGAACACTATAGACACTACAGTGGTGACCCCGAAGACTTAACACGTGCTAATAGTGCTACCTGTGCTACCTACCTACCTCGTGCGGGAATCGTGGACTCAGCGAACCTAAGTGACAATATCCAAGTGCCTTACGTGATATACAAAATGTGTGAATCAGGAAATGACGCGAAGACTGATGCAGCGGCATCACGCGACATTTTTCGCGTGGGCGTGCGCGTGCCGCCATTTTGGCCCGAAAAGCCAGCGATTTGGTTCGCGCAAGTAGAAGGCCAATTCGCAATTTCAAATATTACGGCGGACACAACAAAATTCTTTTACATCGTCAGTCATCTCGACCCGAGATACGCGTCGGAGGTAGAGGATATCATAGTCAACCCACCAGCGGCCGAAAAATACGAACGATTAAAGACGGAACTTATTAAGCGGCTCTCAGAATCGCGGGAAAAGAAGGTGCACCAACTACTGACACACGAGGAGTTAGGTGACAGAAAACCGTCGCAGTTCCTTCGCCACTTGCAGCACCTCGCCGGCCCCAAGGTACCCGATGAATTTTTGCGGACAATATGGTCCAGTCGTTTGCCTAGCAGTATACAACCTATAATCGCCTCACAAGAATCATCGCCTCTAGAAGTTCTAGCTGATCTCGCCGACAGGATCCATGATGTCGTGCCGAGAGGTCACGAAGTTGCGGTTGCATCGTCAACACATGGGGTGAGTGATTTACATACCATAAATCAACAAATGGCCGAGCTGAAGAAACAAGTGGAATTATTAACACAAAAAGTTGATAAACTTTCCCGCCGAAATAGATCAAACAGTCGTAACCATTCGTCTTCCCGCCAAAATCGATCTCATTCGAGTAGTAAGGTACATCCAACATGCTGGTACCATTTCAAATTCGGTGAAAAGGCTACTAAATGTGATCAACCCTGTAATTTCAAATCGGAAAACTTCAAAAGCAGTCAGTAATGGCGGCTGACGACTGCTCAACTTGTAAAGGCCGCCTATTCATTTCCGATAAACGTACCGGCGTACAGTTTTTAATAGATACTGGTTCCGACGTATGTGCCTACCCAAGATCATATCTAAAAAATCAGCTGCATTACCGTTACAACAAACAATGTAACTACGAGCTGGTCGCTGCCAATGGCACACCGATACCTACCTACGGCACGTACCAACTTACTCTTAATCTTGGATTACGCCGCGAATTTATCTGGAAGTTCATTATTGCAGACGTGTCAAGACCTATTATAGGCGTCGATTTTTTAAGTTACTTTAATTTACTAGTCGACTGTCGACAACAAAAGTTGATAGACTCAATAACGAACCTGACCGTCGGCGCGCCTTCAACCAAAGAAATAACACATGAACTAGTGTCGTTAAAAACTATTACAGGTCATTCAACTTATCTCGACCTTCTTCGACGCTACCCTGAAATTACGAGACCTGCTGGATCTCAAATAAAACCGATCCATAACACCAAGCATCACATAAGAACTACACCTGGACCCCCTGTAACATCACGACCGCGCCGCTTGGCACCCGATCGTCTGAAAATCGCGAAGAAGGAATTCGAGCAAATGTTACAAAACGGTACAGCTCGTCGCTCTGAAAGTCCATGGTCGTCTCCATTACATCTCGTACCTAAAAAAGATGATGGCTGGAGGCCATGCGGCGATTACAGACAATTAAATTCAAGAACCGTTCCAGATCGATACCCAGTAAGACACATCCACGACTTCGCGTACCAACTGTCAGGATCCACCATATTTTCAAAAATTGATCTCGTCAAAGCTTTCAACCAAATACCAGTTCACGAAGATGACATTAAGAAAACTGCTATTACAACGCCATTCGGATTATTCGAATTTCCCGCCATGACCTTCGGTTTGAGAAATGCTGCACAGACGTTCCAGAGATTCTTGGACGAAATTCTTCAAGGTTTGGATTTTACTTTCGGATTTCTTGATGACATTCTCGTATTTTCAAAAGGGGAAAAAGAACACATTGAACACATGACGAAAGTTTTCGACCAGTTAAAAAAATATGGCGTCGTTATTAATAGTAACAAATGTGTTTTAGGTGTTAGAGAAGTTACATTCTTAGGCTATCATGTATCTGCAGCCGGCATACGACCTCTCCCAGAAAAAGTACAGGCCATCCGTGATTACCCCATTCCCAAAACAGCTAAGGAATTGAGAAGATTTTTAGGTATGTTAAATTTTTACCGTAAATTCCTACCTGGTGCTGCGCAAATTCAGGCCCCCCTCAATCAAGCTTTGAGCGGCCCGAGTATCAAAGGATCAACGCCTATTGTCATAACAGCTGACATACAAAAAGCGTTCGACGCATGTAAGAACAACTTATTAGAAGCTACGCTCATCGCGCATCCTGACCCAGAGGCTGAGTTAGCACTATTTACCGACGCATCAGATGTGGCTATCTGTGCTGTCTTACAACAACGAAGACAGGACAACTGGCTGCCACTAGGATTCTTCTCTCGCAAATTATCACCTGCTCAGACCAAGTACAGCACCTATGACCGTGAGTTACTCGCGATACATGAAGGTATAAAATATTTTAGGTACATGCTCGAAGCGAGAACATTTAAAGTGTTCACCGACCATAAACCCATCACATTCGCCTTCACAACAAGCCGAGATAACTGTTCACCCCGTCAACACCGCTACCTTGACTACATATCTCAATTCACCACAGATATCAACCACATCACTGGAAATGACAACGTAGTCGCCGACGCATTTTCACGACTGGAAAGCGTCGACACTACCATCAACTACAAACATTTGCAAATAGAACAGGAGAAAGATCAAGATTTACAGCACCTACTAAGAAACAACACAGCGTTAAAGTTGGATAAAGTTAAAATTATGGATGCCTACATATACTGCGACCAGTCTACTTCTCGCCCTAGGCCATTCATCACACCAACTTTCCGCAAACAAATTTTCAACAATCTTCATAATCTAAGTCATCCAGGTCCCAACGCAACAGCAAAACTGATATCCGAAAGATTTGTGTGGCCGAGGATACGTCGAGACTGCAGAACATGGGCTCAACAATGCGCAGATTGCCAACGCAACAAAGTTACCCGTCACACTCAATCTCCTCTTTCCCCATTTCCTGTTCCTTCCAACCGTTTTTCCCATGTCCACCTTGACATAATAGGCCCTATGCCTCCATCTTCTGGTTTCAGGTATTGCCTTACAGCAGTGGACAGGTTCACTCGATGGCCGGAAGCCTATCCTCTCGCTGATATCACAGCGGAGACCTGCGCCAGTACCTTCATTTCTGGCTGGGTCGCTCGCTTCGGATGTCCTGAGAGCATCACTACGGATCGAGGGAAACAATTCGACTCTCAGCTGTTCCAGAGCATCTCGTCGATCATAGGTGCCTACCATCGTCCCACAACATCGTACCACCCGCAGTGCAACGGTTTGGTGGAGAGGATGCACAGACAGCTGAAGGCCGCCATCATGTGCCACAACAATGCTCAGTGGTCAGAGGCCCTACCTCTTGTTCTTCTGGGTATGAGAAGCGCCTGGAAGGAAGATGTACAAGCCTCTTCAGCCGAATTGGTGTACGGCGAGTCACTCCGGTTACCTGGTGAGTTCTTAAAACCTATAACTCACCAGAGCATGGATGAAGCAGACTTCGCAGCACGGCTGAGACAACATATTTCGAAGCTTTCACCTGTATCAACTTCGAGCCACGGTGAGAAGATATTTTATGTTCCTAAAGATCTCAATACAGCCACTCACGTTTTCTTGCGAAAAGGTCCCTTAAAGAAGTCATTAGAATCACCGTACTCTGGTCCACACTTAGTCATTGAAAGAGGACCCAAAACCTTCATAATAGAAGTTCAAGGGAAACGCATTACAGTAACCATTGACAGACTTAAACCGGCTTATATGGCTAACAGCGATGAGAAGATGTCACATGAAACATCATCTTCACCTCAACAACCATCTGCTCCATGGCCTGTTCCACCACAGCGACAACCTGAGACCACCACACGAAGCGGAAGAACTGTGAGATTTCCACGGCATCTTTCTCACTATCGACCGTGAACCGGTCTCAGCGGGGGAGTGATGTAGGGTATAGCTAAGAGACATACATAATTATACACTTACATAATCACATACATACATAAATACATACACATACATACATACATACATACATATAAATAACTCATACACAATAAGTCTAAACGTTACACTAACAATCTATAAAAATATTTATTTGTATAACATCTGTACACAGCCTTATACACACGCACGCTTGTACACACCCTTAGCTATACCTACAGTCCAGCCGCTAGCGGAGCCCCGGCGCCCGCGTTGCCAAAATACCTAACGTTCGGGGAACCGCTCGGTATACGGCGCGCTGTCGCCGCCTACACCCCGCGCTCACGAGCCGCGCCCCTCGCTCGCCCTCGACAGTCCGCATCGGCCAGCGATCGCGCGCGCATCGCCGAACATTACTCGCGTAATATTTAAGTTAATGTACAAATATCTTATTAACTATTGTATGATAACTTTTGTATTTCAATAATAAACATTTATAAGTTAGTGCGTAGTGTTTAATTTCTACCTGAACACTATAGACACTACACTTACAACTATTCCGGTTATTGTGGAATCATTAAATACACATTGCGTTGATCTGATAGTGTGGGAGAAGTTTCCTGAACGCGTCACGCCATGCGCCAGTTTATAATAATTTTATTTTATTTTACATAGGTATTTATACAGGGTGTAAGGGACAGCCTTCCGCAAACTGATAGGGTGGATTCAGTATATCGTCTTAAGTTGACCGGTACATGAAATTATTTCAGGAACGTTATGGGAATCCAATTAAACCGATTTGTTTCATTACCTTACACGCAATGTATCGCTACCACCGCAAACGCACGCAGCGAACGGCAGCGCTTTTAGTATTATTACTTTACACTATGGGCAGCGCCGCGACCTTACGGTACGCGCTCGCGCCGCGTTTTAATAACAATAAATTATTATTTAAAAGATAGCCGCATTACTTACAAAAGACAATGTAATAATCGTGCTCGCGCCACGTTTTAATAACAATAAATTATTATTTTAAAAGATAGCTGCATTACTTACAAAAAAAATCTAACAATCATAACATGGTAACTGATAAATGATAAAAAAAGAAAAATGCGTAGGTACCTTAGAATCGCTCCGGTTTCCGGCTCTGGAAAGCATTTGTGATGCGGTCTCGCATTTCGTACTCACTTGCACACGCACTCACAAACACTTTTTCTTTTACGTAACCCCACAAAAAGGGGTCCAAATGGGTTAGGTCTGGGGATCGTGCTGGCCACGGTTGCGGTCCAAACCTACCTAAACTACGTTTAAATAGGAAAGCACTGGTAAGTGGTAGCGTCTCGTTACGTTAGCGAACCAATTCCAAAATCCACGTAGGTATTGGTCTTCCGGCGCCTTTTTGTCTGGGAACAATGGGCTGGTTTTCTAGCAAGCGTTGATAGTCACCAGTAATTATCCTGGAGTCTGATGGATGGCGACGGTCAGGATACCTACACTACTACAACACATTATCATCTCCCCATAATCACGCGCGCTAAACGTACCTAGGTAGTAATTTCGCACAATTTCTACAACAAAACTTCACTACACTTCACACACTACATAACTAATAAAACTTAACAACACTACTTATAACAAAACTTTTAAGCCGAATGCGCGAGCGATCCGTGCCGACACACGCTCGCGGTACACAAACAATAACATCGCAGCAAGGCACAATGGCGACTGCATGTGATGAGACACACACAAACATAAATCTGTTGTTGCCAATTACACGAAAATTACAAAATTTCGGGGTAAAAAATAAAAAATTATGCATGGTCGTAATTTATCATTCTGTTATTTTTTGTAGAGAAATGAATTGATTAAATCAATTTAATTCTAATTTCATTGTTTAGTTAATTTAGAATACTAAAAGTGCAGTGTGATAGAAAGCTGTGCTTCCATTCCAGGGAGATTGTGTTTAATTTCTGGCTCGACTATCAATTCATGGCTATTGTGAAGCCATGTAAAAATCTGTAAGTAGTTTAAAAACTAGCCAGTAATCGCTTAAAAAGAACAATCAAATAATAAACTAGGTAGTATTTGTAAATGCTTTAAAATTAAAACTAGACTAATCTTTATTTATTTCTTATTCAATTTATGTGCGCGACAAGATTTTCATTAATTGATTAATGAAAATCTCATCAACGTAATTATGAATGCAAAGGAGTTCTCAAGTTTTAGATAAATTTCGCTAGTTCTAACATTTTCGTTTACTACCTGAGGTAACAAAAGTTAAAAATTGGCAACACTGGTTCAATCGGGCAAACATTGTGCAAAGAATCGGGGAGACGGGGAGACGCGGAGGCGGGGCGATAGAAAGGGACGCAGCTATTTTGTACGTTGGACGGGCCATCGTAGGTATAACGGCGCGCGGCGCGGCGATCGGCGCGGTGGGGCGCCGAGCCGCTGCGCCGTGACCGCGGTGCGGTGAGTTCAAACGACTCGCGCTAGGTAGAAATTGAACAGCTGATTTCATGCGTAGTTCTTTAGAGAATTCACACAACCATTGCGTATTTTTTTGTTTTAGCTGTGTTATTTACATTAATGTTATTCTTCATACATAGAATGTAATTATACATTGAAATAGAGGTGTAGGAACTGAAAAAACGAAAAGAAAATTGAAAATTTTCCTGAAAGAATTTTCACTGGAATATGATTCAGAATAAGGAGCTGAATGCACCCTGTTAATTTGTGGAGGGCTGTCCCTTACACCCTGTATTACTCTTATCTTTAATGATATTTTAATATTAAAGAATACAAAAAAAAGTAAAACTAGATATACCTAGTAATGCATTTATGATCGTTAATTTTACAATAGAGCGTCATCTACTTATATTTGACACTGGCTCTCTCAGCTCAACTTAATTTTATGTTTTGAATGGCAGTTAGGTGCTTAGATTAATACATGTAAGTACTTAGTTATGATGTACCTACTGAGTTCCTTTTTATTTTCATGTAGGTAGCTACTTAACATTTTGTTTGTTCTTTCCTTTCACGGGACCACAGGATCCCGGAACTTTGGAAGGCATACGAGGAGCCGAAGCCAACTCGCAGAGGCCCGTTGAACAATTTTAATCTAAATGTCATGGGACATCAGACTACTTAACATTATTTTTACGGAGATAATCATTGTTTTTTTTTAATATATCGTTGCCCCACACTATGATTTTCTCCTGTGTTGTGAGTGTGTTTGCAAACATACAATTCTACATTTACATCACACCCAGACCCGGAACAATAATTTGTGGATCACGCAAAGAGTTGTTCCGTGCGGGAATGGCAGTTGCCCAACCATCGCGCCAACCGTCAAAACAAACGAATGATTTCTGAGTGTCAGATTCTTACTAACTGAAAACCACTCTGTTTTTAGTAAGTAAGAATCTCCTCTTCAGGCTGTAGGTCGGTACATATATTATATATTTACAAATATTTAAATAATGTATAATTGCTATACTAAGAGCTTTGATTATTAATATGTCTAGATGGAGTGTCGCCCTACAATCATAACAAAGAAAACGAGTCAACTATTTCAAGCATGTGTGCGTGCAGGCGTCGTTTTACACTGCGCGTCTATGTCTTTGTGTGCGTAAACAATACGGAATAATGATACCAGCTACTACAAATTCTCCCATAAATAACATTAAAAATAGAATAAATAAAAAACTTTAGGGTTATATGTATGTATGTACCTAGTGTTATTCAGTTTTAGTGTATTTTTATATTTAAGTTGTTGCTGTTTTAAATAAATTAAAGACACTTATTTAATTAAAATTGGGTGGTAGAATGTTGTAATTAAATCAATTAGGTAAATTATACAAGTATTACAATATTTGTATAAATCGGGACTTATTCGCAATATTATACTTATTACTAAAATGGTACGATACCTTTTACTTTACCCGACGTGACGTTTCGGCCGAATTGCACTGACCGTGGTGACGGGTGGACTCGCTCGAAACGTCGGGCGAATAAAGCGTCGGGGAAAAGGTGTCGCAATAATATTTATATATATCGTTTCAAAAATATGAGGTAATAAAGAATATTACGCTCATACATATACACGACTAGTTGTTTCCCACGGTTCTACTCGCATCGCGCACCCGTATAAAAAGTAGCCTGTATGTTATTCTGATGTATAAGCTATATTACTGCCAAGTTTCATCAAAATCGGTTCAGCAGTTTTTGCATGAAGGAGAAACAAACAAACATACAAACTTTCGCATTTATTATTATAGTAGGATATACGCGAGAAAAAAAAAACATAACTCTTCTTGGAAGTTGGGTAATAAAGAAAAAAGTCTGTTCAGAAGTTATTATATAATTTATCGCCTTATCTCCGACATAATTAGGCCTAAAATTAAGAAAATATACTACAGATAATATGTACCCGTAGATTCTAGGAAAATATACGATTTAAAAAGTGATATTTAAAAAAATGTTTTTGTTGGGAACCCTTTGCACTCGAGTTCAATTTGCATTTGACCAGTAAAACTAAAAAGTACATGAACGAAATTGTGTAGACGTAACCAAAAACAAACAAAAATGCCGTTAAGTTGGGAGAATAAAAAACAGAAACTGGCAACACTGATAAGACGAAAAAATATGGCGTCATTTGGTAAGCATTAAAACAAAAATTAAATATATGTAATTTTCTTGGCTACTTACTGATGATAGGTGATGTGTTTGGTATTTTTTGCCCTTTCTTTATAATTCCGGCACACTTTTATAGCACATACCGTCATTTTATCGCTGTTATTAGTTTTTTTCTTAGCGCGCGTCATGCGTAGTGACAATAGAGCGACACGATATGTACTGATCGGCGGGTAAGCAACTGTCGGCCAACAGTTGGCCGACACTTTTTGACACGTTTGCGCGCACTTGACGCTCTATCTAGACATATTAATAATCAAAGACTAAGAGATATTCTTATGACTGTTCTTTTTATTTAAATTCGGAATGTATTTGCGTAATGCCAACCTAGTCATTTTGTATGGTGGTAGAAAAATAAAGAACGAGTTTAAATATTTAAAGCGATGGATGGCCCAGGGCGAAAAATTCTTGGGGCGCCAAGGCCTTAAGTTCGAGTCTCTCCTCTCCTGGTGCAAATCCTCAGAACTGTGCTCTACGCTCTGCGCATATACATATTTTTTATTGAGTTTTTTTAATTTTACTTGCGATCAGCAAAACACTAACACTTGATACTACTTCCAGTGGGCACCACAATATTTTCGCCCGGGGTGTCAGTGGCCCTTACGCCGACACTGGCGGCGTCGATTGCTTGCTATCACGTACCTATATCTACACTATTTTACTTCGGCACGAATGGGTCGGCTCGACCGGAGTGATACCACGGCCTCACAGAAAACCGGCGTGAAACAACCACAGCGTTGTGTTTCGCCATGTAAGTGAGATTACCGGAGGCCCAATCCTTCCCCTCCCCAATCCCTCCTCAATCCTTAAATCTCCAAATCCCTAATCCCTAAAAGGTCGGCAACACACTCGTAACTCCTCCGTTGCGGGTGTCCATGGGCGGCGCTGATTGCTTACCATCACGTCCACCAATCGTTTGCCGATCTATTACATAAAAAAAACTAACAGGTTCCTTATTACACTTTTTAGTAGTGGGAAGATAATTATTGTTTCTGTAGCTACTTCATCTTTGTCAAGGTAATTTTTTACTGTGTCTTTGTTTTCTAAACAACATACCAAGTGACGTGGCTGATTTAAACCTAAGTATATTGTATAATTTTATTTTATTAAATATATCACTTATTAAATATTTATACATTTTAAGTGGATATATTCTTTTTGTTTCCTCACATTAGAAATTTTTCCTTCATCTCGGACCGTAAATGCGTTTACAAAGATACAATTTTGTGATACAGAACAACATTTTGTGGATCACACAAGTTGTTTTGTGGGTGAATCGCATCTGCAACATGTTGCATGGCAACCGTGCAGTCATTTTGTCAATCTTTATTTTAGGTGTTACTCATGCACAGCAAACATTCGAAAGAATAGGTTGAGTACTTATTATAGGTAATTAATAGGTGCTCCACCGTGTAGGCGTTCTCCACCGTGGGTCCCATCATCGTTTACCAGCAGACCTGACAGCAGCCAAATGCCTAAACATTAGTATCGTAAATAAAAAAAAAAGAATTTCGAAGTCTTTTAGTGCCAGTTTAGTCTAGTCTTCGTTTTTCTAAATAAGTTGCATAAGTCTAGTACATACAACAGGGATGTTATCTATCACTATGTAGGTACATGCAGGTGCGAAGATAGTTGCGTCTTTACTCTTTGGTAACGTCCTTTTTAAAAGAATTTTTTTCTGGCGTACAATATCTGTACCTCTGGTTGACATTTGACAAGGTAAATACATTTCAAAAGTTGTACATATTTAAACAAAGATGAGAAATATCGAAACAAAATGGGCGACCGTGACAACAACAACCTGATACCGTTCGTCGCTGGAGTGGTAGTCGGCGCTGGTATCCTCACCTTGCTGTACAAATTCTTTATGTCTGGACCCCAACCAGCTACCAAGCCTAAACCATTGAGAATCAATCAACAAATCAATGCTCAACACAAGTGTACGTGCCTGAAGGGAGGCCCAGACCCGGTGAGTTTACAATTGTAATCGATTTTCGAATAATTCTGTAATCGAATACCTTTCAATAGTAATTCGAGACACAATAGAATATTAGTACTTATGTGCACGAACGACGGCTTGTGCTTAGATACCTTCTTAATTAATTAATTATGGTCTGAGTGAGATACAAAATATAGAATATCTTCTATCACCATTTTCACTAAGCGTCTACACGACCACCCCGATCCTTATACCCAAGAGCTAATAGGTACAAATTAGGTAGCAGACCTTATCTTAGTAGGTTTTTCTCTCTACGGCGCTGAATTTATTGAATTACTTTGTAGTTATTTTCTAATGAACTCCAGGATAGCTCCCTTTTGTATTTGGTTCTGTACATGGATGGCATTGATTTCTTTCAACCTACTCCAACAGCGCCTCGTCGGATACCTACCAGTCGATAAGGACGTTATTTCCGTTGTACGAGTTTTTAAATAAAATAATGTTTTAAAATATGCCCCAATATTTTGTTCTTCATCATCAGCCTATAAGTGCCCACTGCTGAGCAAAGGCCTCTTCTCATACGGAGAAGGTTAGAGCATTAATCACCACGCTAGCTCAATTGCTAGCTAGGGTAGGCGTTTTTAAACTTATAATTAGAAATTATAAGTCCAGGTATCCTCACGATGTTTACCTTCACCGTATGTCAGTGGTGTCTAAATAATCATAGAAAGTACATATAACTCGGAAAAAGTCACATTGGTACTTGCCAGGTTTCGAACCCACACCCTCATGCATGAGATGCGGGCTCCTTAACCTCCGGGCCACCACGACAGATTTCGTTCTTAGCGTTCATAAACTTAGGTACAAATTCAGAAGCATTTCACACCCAGACCTGGAACAACAATTTATGGATCACGTTGAGGGCCGGTCAGTAGCCCAACCAGGGTGTTAAACAAAATTTAATTAGCACTGAATCTGATTAAAATGTTTCTTACAGTGTCAACTCCACAGCGGTAACGCAGTTTAACACGTTAAAAGAACTTATTTCTTTCCAAAACGAAAAAAGAAGAATGCAACGTCAATGTCAATCGCTCCGTCAATGACATCTAACAAAGATGGGTCCGCAATAATAGTACATAAATTAATTTCCTAAACACTACAAGAATAACAACAAAATAAAAATAAACAAACCGTATATCAAATTAAAATATGTGCGATTGGTAAGTACCTACTTACCTAACAGATTTGTTTTTATTTCTTGTACTTGTATATCTACATGTGTGCCCCTAACAGATCTAACTACTTACTATCAGTTGCACATTGCTGCCCAAGGTTACTATCAATCCCTGAATCAATAAAATCTATGGCTGACAGTAGGAGTTCGAATAGGCATCTCTATTAGTTATACTTATGCTGTCTTTTATTTTTTGAAATCAGGAAATCTTGTCAGACTCTTATAATAAAAATCCCGTCTTACTTCTCTGAACCGGTTGCCGCTGAATTCTTTCGCTTTATTCGAAGCTCTGTGTTCCCCGAAGGGACCTGTGTGTTCAAGGCCCGAGTGAATAGGTTGATTATGGAAAAGCGTGCACCAGGTGTGATAGCAGCCAAAAAATCTAGTTAGCTTTATGTTTGTGAGTATGATTCCAAACACAGTGCTACCTGCCTATAATTGCCTTATGGCCGTTTTAAATCCAGAAGTATTTAAATAAAGCCTATACTTAGGTACTTAACTATGTTATAGTTGCTGGTACGAATCATGGGCAAATATTCGTAGAACCAAGGTGTATTTTCCCGTTTGGATACTAGAATGAACTTACAACTATGTATAAATAATTTAGTTACATTACGAACGACTGCTAGCGCAAACATCAATACCAAGTCATTACATTTGAATACCGAATCGTTTTAGCACAACTTCATATTTTGTAAATAATTATAACAGTTTAGAAGAAAAGCAGCGGAAGGAGAGAGAACGCGCAAAAAAACTTGCAGCCCGTGGGTTCCGTGGTGGACTCTACGGCCCGGCGGGTGGAGCATATGATGGCTTGGGGCCTGACAGTGGGGCCTTCAGTCCGGAGAGCGGCGGCTTTGATGAATATGGCAACTGGGTTCCACCTCGGGACCCGCCTTCGCATTTCACTCCCGTGCGGATAGCGCTTGGAACGGCTGGCCTACTATTTCTTACCTTTTTTGCATTGTTCTTGAAGCTCGGCGACAAGAACAGCTCACCAATCCATAGACTCTATTTTTCATACTTTCCTCCTAAGCCGGACCCAAATGCCCCTAAAGTCCCCAACTACTGCTTCGATCCAAAGAAAAAAGTAAGTTCATTGACTATATTATCTGTAATTTTTCTTAACCTAGCTTTTTCCCATCTAGGAGTCAACTGGGGTCGGCTTATAGCCAGTACTTCTTACATGGATGATCCATATCGTAACTTCTTAAATGTTGCTCCACTTTGAGTATTTTTCTAGTAAACCCGATTAATTTATTTTTCTTATCGCACTTTATCTATTAACCAAATTTTAAATGCTAAAAATAATAAAACCTACTTATATTTTTGTTTCAGAAATGGCCGCCTGAGCCTATCGATAAAGACGGAAGTTGAAACCAATAACAAAACACAATTTCATTAACCATTGAAGCATTTTCATATTTTAATAAATTAACTTAAATGAAAAACTGAATAAATAACTGAAATGCAGAACATTTATGTATGTCGCTTTAATTTCCATAATTTCAAATACTTACTATTTAGAGTTTGGATTTTTTTTTCGCTTAAATGATGAAACACTAATTTTTTATGATTAACCCTCTGTCACGACCTGTCTCTTAGGTCCTTCTGTGAATTGATTGTAGGTACAAAAAAAAACAAGGTTTTGAAACAAAATATATTTAATACGATCTTCACTTTACAAATTCTCGTTCAGTAACTGCCTAATCGGCTTCAACTATAACTATAATAAGTCTGGCTTGTAAATGACACAACCGTATAAGAAAATGTTCTACATTAAACCGTTAGTGCCTTAAAAACAAGGAACGTTAGGAGCTATGTACACAAACTTATAACTCAACATGAAGTCACACGATCGATAATATTTTCTTACTGGCCGAAAAATATTAAAGTAGGTATTTAAAAAAAAATTGTGGCTGTCAAGTAATTTTCGCGCCATAAATTGTATAACAAACGTCATTGTAAGAGGGGGCGATGGCCTATTTAAAGTCCATTAGATCAGAAGTACTTTTAAAAATTTTCAAATAACCAAGTTAAATGAAAGCATTATAATATTATTGTCAGTAAAGGAACTGTGTGGTTGGAGGAGGAATGACTACAATCCAAATGTCGGCTGAATATAAGGTTTTGTTGTTTTGCAACAGTGAGTACACTTAGAATCTAAAATGTTTGTTTTCAAAAGTAGGAGTATCTTATCGCAATTCACGTCTGTGGGCGATAAGTGGTTAGTCTACTATACCTATTTATAATATTAAAAACATATGATAACGTATAACAGGTCTGGATTGTTCTCGATTATTCTATTGCTTACTCACAACATTCCCGTTCGTAAGTTAAGGGACTAAACTTGTGTTGTAAGATTTGATAGTGTTTATAAATTCATTTTTCGTTAAATTCAAAAGTTATTCCTATATTGAAGAAAATTTGGGACAATAAATCAGAGGCGCAATTGATACCTATATGTGACTGACGTGAACAAAACATGGTCCGAAGCTCAGGTCCGAAGTTATCAAATGGGAGGATTCTTTATTGTCTCGTAAATGATAGAAATTGGTGCCTGTATTCATCATTATACTTTCCAAATAATATGTTCTAGGCAGGTTAATACATAAATAAAATAAACCAGTAATGTGAAATATAATCGGTCGTGTGAAACTCGTGATAACCTAATATTGTAAACATAACTAACCATTACCTACATTCTGTAACTGATATGCTTATTGCGGTGTAACTTTGTCCCTTTTTACAAAAAAATACGAATAATAGGAAGCCAGCTGGCAACACTGATCCGAATTAGTGCTGAAACATTTTATTATCTTAGTGAGAAAAGTTACACCAAATGTGAAACGAGTTTAATTATTACATTGTTTTAATTAAACTTAATAATTTAACATTACTTAGCTGGAATTTTATGTTTTGAAACTGCAATTTGCTATTTTATTTTGTTTATTAGCGAATTGTCCAAACATATTGAAATCACGATTATTATTTTTATTGTTGCCAAACATAAACTAAGCCGTTTCAGTAATTTCTATACAATGTTCTATTGCACATTAATAATTTTAATAAATAATTAAATTTGGCCAATCCAACTTGGTCGAAATTTCGGATGCTAAATTTGAAATTATTACAAAGACTATGAAACTTAAAATAGGTACATTGCTCAAATATAAAATCAAACTATTGCAATTACAATTTACTCGATTATTTCAACATTAAAGTTAATATTAACAACTATTTGATCACCAGACATGTATTAAAATTATTATTTATAGATCTTACTGCCAGACCTCAAGGCAATGTGATTGTCATCGGTCCAAAGCCTAGGCACAAAAATGTTAAAGGTATTCCCGCTATGAGGGCTACGGTTTTTTTCTACAGATGGTCCTAATCTAAAAAGGTTCTAGATTCTAGGTTTCTCAATAAATACAGCTTCCAAAAAACCAAAATTTCAGTGTCCAATATTGTGACGCTTTGATAATTCTCTATTAGACGCGAGGTTCACATGAGCGCCATCTAATGCGCAAAAACGGTAGCCCACGTTTTCAATAAATTCTCTGCGCAAAATATGGTACACAGATCGGGGAATAAGATGTTTTAGGCGGACATTACAGAGCTAACATCTTTTCCCCAAGATTAATTTGACCAAAAAAATATCTAGGCTCGATGAGGATATACTACCAATAGTTGGACTTCAAATAGTTCACACAAGATTCACATAAATGGTACAGGGATTGAATATGTATTTAGCTCGATAAGATTGCTACTTGAGATCGCAGATAAGATAAATAAATAAGTTTCCTTTTGATAAATTTTAATAATTATACTTACGTCACATCACAATGGTTTCAAGAATTTGCAATATCGCAATCATGTTCATCTTTTTTACGTCAATACTTAGGTAAAATTTGTTCTACATTAACGACATCTTGCTCCTTACCTTATTCAGCAGAATAGCAACTATAGTTACTAAAGATGATTCGAACCGTCATCGCTTTGAACTATTTAGCATGACTTTGAATTACAGTGAAAATGTTATTAACTAATAAAATCGGCTAAGAAAACATAGGTAAATGTATACAGCAACAATTTAAACATACATAGAACAACAAATTGTTGTAGTAAATACCACAATGAATATTCTAGTACACACACAGACTAGTAAGATATGAGACAGCACTCGTTATTATTGCGGAATGGAATAGTACATAGGTATAAGATGCTTTTATCATAAGAGGCGGCATCTATATGTAGGTAAAAAATGGTTACTGTCTCACATGTTACAGTATGTTGTATCTGCTGCAAAAAGCTGCTAAGTAGTTCCACTATCAGTCTTAGTGTCCAATTAGTGGCAATTGATCTCCAGCATATACCGAAAATTGTATTTACCGGCACTTAGGAGAAACGACACATGTTAGAGACCAACTGACGGTTGAAATGCATTCAAATCTAATAGGTTAGCAGGTTGAGACTTACTTTCGTCTATGTTTACACATACATTTAGTTGAAAACTGTGTTTATTGTAAGATGGTAGAACTGCAAAGACACAAAGCATTTCTTCGCCTAGTTATGGACGGACACGTAATTGCTCATTCATAATATATAAATTAAGGAGTTTCAACACTAATTCGACATCCTGATGTTGTAGTTTAGCCTTGACAGACGATGCCCTGTCGTTCAGCCAGTACATTTAATGTTCTTGGTAAGAAATAAAACATGTAGTGTGTGTTTATATCTGAATAAACTTCGAAGGATCATTTTCCTGTAAATCCTGACAGTATTAAAATATTTATATGTTACCGTCCTGAACGAAACGACACAGTGTTTAAGGCAGAATTTATAATTTGTTTCTTGAAATATTTTCTTTTGGCACTGACATCTAAACCGCATTTGCGGATCAAGTATTCCACAATTCTATCTCATTAAATATTTACACCATGTATACCCTGAATTTAACAATATAACCATGATTTTAAAGTAAAATATTCTATATAAGATGACGATGATATTTAAATACACTATATTAATACTGTATTTACAAAAATATGATATCACTATAACATTTTCAGTGTTGCCCGTTTTTTATTGAATAATATCAGCTATTGTATTTGTAAGGTTCATAATTTGCATTAAATAGATTATTTTTATTGTTTAATGTGGGAATTCTACCATTTTTGTAGAAAATAAAACAACGGGCAACACAAAACGTTAAGTTTTCTCTATAGTTCGGTGTGATTTTTGACACATATTTGTTTGTACATTATATTTTGTTTAAAGGACAGTGGAAGATGGAATGCGCGTGGTTCTATAAACGAAAGCCGAGAGAAATAATTTTAGTGTATCAGTGTCACAAGTATCTGATTTCTTATTGTGTTCAGGAATATTATTGTCTCTCAACTTTAATTTACGAATCCACATAAGTTCAACAAGTGCATCCACACGAAAAAATTAACAAACATGTCAAAATATTTCATTTTTAAATTGTTATTTAATTTTTTCGTGTTAAATCAATTAGCATTCGTTCTTATTGTACGCTTTTGAAATGGCGTGGTCGTTCGTTTTGTTTTTATTAAATTTCATATATTTTCGCATAAGTAGTTACTATTTATCAATTCGACGGAATTCGCCAAAAATGACACGTTTTAAAAGACTAGCAACGCGCCATTTATTGTATTTTGTAATTTTATATAATTTTAGGACGAATTTAGCCCGTATATTATGAGTATACATATAATTTATGATGTAAGGTAAAGATAAATAAAAAAATGTTCTTATAAAGTAAAAATAATTTTAAATAATATGACTTTGTCGAAGTTTAACGAAATATAGCAAAATGAATCTTTGTATAGTTAAATTATAAATAGGTTCTAAACGCAATCAGTATGCCACTGCTAACGTAAAATATTAAGATCAGTACTAATCCGTAGCCAACGTTTATTATGACAACTTAACTTTAAATTTAAATTATGTACACACTTATAGTAGCTGTAAACTGGCAAGTAATATTTAATACTGGAAACATAAAAATAAATTATAAAGTTATTGAAACATAACCTAAATAAATGATTATTTACATGTTGCAACACTGCATCTGATGTGTTAGCGAAATCAAAATTCAGACCGCGTCTATAATATTTAGACTAAAAAGACTAAAAGGCCTTCATAATATACGGATAGGCCACGTCATAAAGGACTATTCAACCACACATTGACTATATCACCGATAATTTCGACTAATCTCCTCTACAACTCGCCGTGTAATCTCAACGTTCGTCTTCAGTACAAATATAAGCAAAGTACGAAGTTAGAGTCAGTGAGTGCGGCGCTAACAGCGCGTGTCGAAGAGCGGCAGCTTGGAGCGCACGGCGCCGGCGCACAGCGTGAGCCGCACGCGGCGGCCGCGCGCGCGCTCGCACGCCTGCCCCGCGCCCGCGCGCTCGAAGTACTCCACCATCTGCCGGATCTGCTGCGAGCGCGCCGCGCGCGGCAGCCGCTCCTCCATGTACACGCTGTCCGACCCCGCCAGCGACGCCACGTCCTCCGAGCTGTCCGTGTACACGCTCGAGCTGCGCTTGCCCAGCCCGGCGCGCGCGCGCCGCGCCCAGCCCGCGCCCGCCGCGCAGCAGCACGTCGCCAGGATGTGGTACTCGCACAGCTCCGCCGCCCCCGCCTCCGCCTCCACCTCCGCCTCCGCCTCCGCCTCGACGTCGCGTCGCCCGCAAAGGAACGACGACGTGTCTTCGTCCAGGCTGCGGAGCGACCCCGACGGAACCGCCAATGCAGAGTCGTCCAGTGGCGCACGTCGCGATGGCCGGGCGTCTAACGCGCGATCGTATTGTAGTAGACAGTCGGCGCAGAGTCGAGCTCGAGCTTCGCCTGTGGGAGCGGGGCCGGGCGCCGCTTCGCTCACGTCGGGGTCTCGTCGCCACCACCAACACCGGTGGCAACCCACCAGAGAGCATGGACACACCGCGGCACGTGGCTTGGCCCCGGCCCGCGCGGGGCACAGCTCTTCGTTGGCCACGGAAAAGATGCCGCTCTCGCAAGAAGCGCGGCGTCGCAGTTCATGCGCAGGAGAGCGCGGCGCGCGAGCATCGAGTGAGCCGCGACGCGACAACGCGGGGGACGATGGTAGCGACGCAGCGCGCGTGTCGTCTGCGGCCTCGAGAGCGCGGGACGCGGCGCGCGGCGGGGACGCCAGCGAGGCGCAGGACGCGGAGCCCGGGTGCGGCTCGAGGATCTTCTTGACGCCGCGGAAGGTGTCGAGAGGGCGGCGCGCGGCGGTGGGCGCGGCGTGCGCGTCCCGCAGCAACATGATGTGCGCCAAACGATGCAGGCGAGCCAGGCGGGGCGGGGCAGCCCGCGCGCCCGCGCCCCCGCCGGGGCCCAGCGCCCAGGCCGAGCGGTGCGCCGCGCCCGCGGGCCCGCCGGGGCCCGGCCAGGCCGCGCCGCCCCACTCCAGCTCCGACAGCGAACGCCTGTGTTGCACTGCACATAGGAATGGTTAATGCGGTGCATTGACTGAAGGTCGAACAAGCTGACTGTAAGGGTGGAGGTGTACTCACGTTGGTCGTGGTCGTGATGCCGCGGGCTGCCTTCTGAACGGTACCGCTGAGGTCTCCGCCACGCGTACAAGCCGGGACACGACCTAGGACCTGATGAATCTGCGTCCTCACTGTAAAAATACCAAGTCAATGTTTACATTATCTTGTAAATCTTTTAATTAACAAATACCCCTCGTAGTTATTTTATTGAACCACAAACCTCTCATGGTGGTTGTTAGTACTATGCGAGCCCCAATTAGTGTCATCAAGGCTCTCCTTCACTTCGGCCAGCTTGCTCACTATTTCTGGGAATAGCGGACGCGCTTTTGGTTCATACTGCAAAAAAACAAAATTTAGGTCCAAAATGAACTTGGTAAAATTACTTTGACTTTGCAATTAGCACGTTTCGTAGTATATATTGCATAGAAGTGACTCACGATGCAGCAATTGAAGGTGAGCCTTAGGAAGTCGGGTACGGTGTCCTCGTCACAGAGCTCCACAAACGCCATGTAGTTGAGGCCGAAGTTGTCCGTGCGGGGCAGCACGTCCGGGTCGGCGTCCACCTGCAATGGTCGCTTGTGACGTTACTATCACTGCTAGGCATTTCTAACTTCAAATTTTAAATGGGTCTAAAAACAGGTGTAAGGTAATTTTATGTAAGTAGCAACCGCTTTTAACATTATTAGCTTGAAATGAGCCTGTATTTTAAATGGGCATTAGAAACTTCTAAAGCGGTAACTAGAATTTATTATTAATAGCATAAGGAGGCTTATTGAACATACCCTGGCGATAAGTTGGCACAGTATGATCCCGTAGGAGAATATGTCTGAGCGATGGTCGTACCACCGTCCGCGAAGACATTCCGGGGACATCCACCAAGGAGACCCCACGCTTGGTAGCCTGTAACCGTTCCTGGAAAGGAAAAAAAACATTATTACAATTATGTCAAAGAGGCATAAATCTTTAGTTATTCTCATAACTTATCTGAAATTCAGTACTAAAATGTTCTAAAATTTTCATTGTCTACAATCAAATTCGATACTATTTGTTCCAACTCGTTTAGTGCATTATAACGATATAGATTTTACTGATATTCAGCAATGATAGTACCTACAGTGACACTGACAATCTAACCCCACACGCGAATTAGCGTGTACATTTCATGTGAGCCGCGCACACTACAGCTAGCTTTATGACAACTTAATTATAAAGTAAAACATATTTTTAGTAGTACTTTATAAACTTAGTGTAGCCACTAATTGGTGTTATTTACGTACATCAAGTTGGTCATTCATAATGGGCACTACGCAATTATAAGACTGCGTTCTTTTCACAAAATATTCCAAAATATTCCAACAAAAAAGAGGTTCTTATTTCGGCACAATAGTTTTAAGAATGGCGCCCATTCTGTTAGGGACTATAAAATGTTTAATTGCGTTGATTGAAATAAGCAATACTCAAAACATGTAGTGATTCAGTAACTTTCGCGCGTGCGCAATTGCAGGCACACACACGAAGCACATACTTTACAAAGTACAATTACCAAACTGAGCTTCCTCAATTGGAAATATATAATATATATCGATTAGAGAATATATATATAGATAGATATAGAGATCTTCATTACAGTTTTTGATAATTTTAAATAATATCTAATATATTTTAACAAAAAAAAGTTTTCGTTATCATACGATTCTTTAAAATCAAAGTGTTTCTATTTTACGTCTAGTTTGGATACAAAATATACGAGAGCGGTATCCAATTGTACATTGTTTCTTACGGATTTAGGGATCAGCCAATCAAAACTGCTTATCCGAAACAAGCTTTTCCTTAAATGTGTATAAGTTACAAAAACAGGATAAGAACTTGAGGTCAGAGATCAGTTCAGATTTTCTGGAGCTATTCATATTAAAGCGAGTATAAACCAATTTTAATGATAAATAAATTTGAATCTAGATACATATTTGCGTGGTTTATTCGGATAAAGAGAGCAGGGGAAGGCATACGAATATAAAACTTTATGGAGAACCGAGAAGAAGTTTTTTTTTTTATTTCATGTACAGCAGTTGTATTTTTCGGTACTACATTTTGTATAGTTAAAAACTCTCTTTGGATCTCTAGTTGCTAGGCTGGTGGCAGATTCTAGTCTAGTTATCTTAGCGTTGCGACAAAACACACAGGTTCACAATCAAACCGAGACGTACTATTTCATAATGTACAGACCGATGACCGGTTTTACATAAGTATTGAACGAACTTGGGCAACTGTCTCTCGTACGTTCCTATTGATATTGTAATAGCTTCATTCTATGATCACGTAACGCGGTACTCTCTACGTTCGAATCGATTATTTACGGTCATCTGAAAATGTACAGTTAGGCGATAATGAAGCGAGTTGCCGTGTCTGCAAATCGACCAAAGCTGACTGCATGATATCTTTATTTCTCTATTCGATAAGCGTTTTATTATTTGGCAACACGAAGAACCTCCTATTCTATTGTACCCGCCACAAAAACAAAATAATTTGTATTTTTTCGGTAAGAATGTGTCGTAGCGGTGTTTTTGCTAAATTCACATAAATCTTACAGACAGTCTTAAGTCTTCTAAAAAACCTTAATAATCGATTATCGTTTTATAACGTGCATACATTTAATTAGATTAGACTGGCAGTGGAAATTACATCGCATTGCGCTGTACCTGGTTTACGTCGGATGTTAATGTTTCAAGTATTATTTATTGCTTTTCTCCCGTCGAGATTAGGTTTTTCCTATTATGAAAGCCATAGTTGAGAATTAGTACTTACACAGGATGAGGTATTTTAGCTGCTAAGCCGAAGTCAGCGACAACGGCCATGTAGTCGCCTTCTCCAATCTTTCTTAATAATACATTCTGAAAAAATAAGATTAAATTTTACCTTAAATGGCTGTCAAAGCTCTTCTTATTAAAAAAAGAGATTATGAAGAAATACTCTTAAAAAAATGTTATTTATGTATCTTTTCCTATTCATGTTCTTTTGTCAAGTCCAATAATCATAATTTTCTGTAAGTGGACATTCACTGTCCACTTACAAAAAAAGTGACAAAAAAGGCTTTTATATTACCTTAGTAGTAAGATCCCTATGGAAGACACCGAGGGAGTGTAGGTACATCATGCCTTCTGCTACGTCAGCTGCGAGGGAGACCCTGAGGGGCTGCGGCAGGGGCTCCGGCGGCCGGCTAAGGATTAGCTGCTCAAGGGAACCACCTTCCATGTACTCCGTGAGTGCATGCAACTGCCCCTCATGTACGCATACGCCCATGAAACTGAAAAAAAGCAAATAAATTTATTATTAGAATTTAATATAATTAAAAATATTAAACACAAAATTCTGTTTAAAAATCCTAACCGTTAATATCGGAGAAAATGTGATATTGCTAGTCAGCGCTGCGGCCTAGTCTCAAGCAGTGTTTCTTAGGCAATAAATCAGCAATTAGAGAGGAAAGATAATATATCTGTAAGTGAGAATACGTATCTAATCCCATTAATTTCAGTATCTATGCGTTTAAGTTTCACCGCCTTACTATAGAAAATGAATGTTATTAATTGTATTGATTTAAATCACTTGGTTGACAGAAATGATCATTGGCGATGATGTGAAAACCACATTGAATGGGGGAAAGTGATCCTATTCATACAAATACAAAAACAGATGTGAATGTGCTATGAAAAACCGTGGAAAGCCAAGAGAATGTACCAGTTAACACCAGAGAAGCAGCCATTGAAGTGCACCCGTAATAAACTGACGATTGATTGCACCATTGTTATATGTACAAATGAGGGCATTAGAAGAATGATCTTGCATTAATTATACACTTCATTCAAGGCTGCTGGATTAATGCATGACTTGCCTTCTGACCCGATGTGTAATCTAGTTTTAATTTTGTAATCAAAATACAAGATGCATTCCGTTAATACTCTCCCACGCGAAATATCAAGGTCGATGCACACAGATGATTAGAAATCCGATTATGATAATAAAGTGTGTTGTGTACACAATAAGCGTCGTGCGAGTATGGTCTCGAAAGTAATTGGGAAAAGATTGGAGATGCCACAATAATGTTTCCCAGTGATGGGACTACAATAGATGGCCTCATTGATGCGGACCATCAACCTGCCGCACATTCAACTGGACAAATAGATGTGATCTCATTTGGAAGTGCCCGCACAAATATGCTAGATTCGATAGACAATATACTTGAACTTGAAACACTGTTCAAATATATTCATGAGCACGACAGCCATAACTAATTTTTCTTCGAGTCGCATGGTCATCATTATGCTAGTAGTGTGTCACATTAGCTGACGTGCCCGGCTATGGTATTTTACATGCTCTTTGTATATCAAACCACTCTATTTACAGTTTTCTTTAGACAGTCATGTCAATTTGTATGCAAAGAAATACAAAAATGTCTCCGTTTCGAAGTCATTACCTTATTGATCACGCAATGAGACAGATGTCAAGGCTTCACTGAATAATCATCTTATAATCAATGCAAATTGCCAATTAAAGCTTGGCGTGCAGATATATCAAAGGGGTTTTAATTATAATGAAACTCCCATTGATAATAAGATAAGGTCAAAAAACAGCAACAATCGGGGAGAAAGCAAGTCTTTTATTCCTAGGAAGCTGTGTTTACGGGCACGCAATAAGAACACAAGAGTTAAGTTAATTGACACTTTTAGTGTGTTTAATGTCCGTTATCATTGTAAATTATAGATGATCAACTGAGGTGCGGTCGCGGCGCACGTTGCTCAACCGTTAATCATGTGGCTTTTAATGCTTTGTATAATTCGACGTTTGGCTCTTCTTCAGAGATTTCTTAACTGGGTACTTAGTTTTGTAAACATGTTTCATATACGATTGGGTATGCTTGTACCTATATGCTACATTAGCTAATGCGAAACTAGAAAAAGTGACTGAAAAGACAGCTGCTAGACGAATGAGAAAGAAATGTAAGACAAACAATCGGAACAGTGCAAGCGTTGTTTTATTTCCGAAGATAAGCAAGCAGGAAATGGGCGAAATGGGGGACAGTGGGTGCCATTGTTTGGTCCATCGTTTATTATTTCGTAATATATTATGCAAACAGAATTCAGAGTAACAACAAATACGAAATGTCATTCTCGTAAGGCGATTTAAAAGACAATGAGTACCAAAAAATGGCCACACGGGCGACATGTACGAGATCAGGAAGTGACAATGTACACGTGTGAATATAACGTATTGTGTGACTTCTGAAAATATTACGTGATTGACTTACAAATACTTGTATAAATAGAGTTTTATGCTACTTTATGAACAAGTATGGACTGGTAATGAAACGCAGTATTTTTACTTTACAATGTTACTCAAGTTTTCAGAATAAAATAATAATAGCGACTTAAAACCGTTTAACTGTGCTATGAAATAGTTATGTTATAAAAAGATTAAAGTTATTTTTTAGAAATATTGTAACACTAAAAATTTCATTTCTCAAATAAGTGTACTTGTTTTTTATAGTAAATCTGAAGATTTACGAATGTGGTAGGTACCGTTTTAAATTTCGAGACAAATTACGTGTCAATATGAAATAACTGATTTTATTTATGTCAAAATGTTAATATAAAGTCTACAGTGTTTACAGCTACTAGACCCCATATCTAATAAAAGTCAATATTAATTTTACTTAAAAAAAGTTAAGTAAACACAATAAACGTAGCGCCCCGTGGATGATGTAACGTACACCAGGCTTCAGTTGTTTGTTTGTTAGGTTAGCAAACATTGGAACAAAGGGTCGGTCGGCCGAATTTGTGCGCCACCAGTGACCCCGGATCGAGGGTTTTCGCACTACTCCAAACAGTAGTATGTAATGTAATTTTCCGAGTATTCATGAAAACATTTTTTCTGTGAATGTAGATCGAGTTGATGTTCATGTTATTTTACGTAAAGAGTGACTATGTTACCCTACCATTGCTAAATTAGTTCCTTTTAGTATTAAAAAAACCCAACAAGAGTATATTTCTTTTATTTTTATGTAATGTCGGTCGTGTATAACTGCATCAACATTATTTTGCCCAAGATGCTTACGCATCAACCCTCTTAACAAAATTCCTCATATTTTTATAACCGTATATCGGAATTCTGTATGCAAATATGTAATTGGTAGCCGCAACGAAATATTTATAACATATTGTTGACCTTTCGTTTAATATTTACGCTATGATTCATTGTTCACACTTAAATAAGAGGAGAAATTTTTAAAATGTTAATAAATTCTTCTCTTTAGTTTCTCCATTGCAATTCACGCATGTCTTTGTATGGCTTAATAACAACTCGATAGTGTGCCAACCATAATACGGTACCTCGTATTAAATGCTGTATGTAGGAAAATTGTAAATGTATTTTACGATACAAAAACTCTGACTTTACAAACTAAAAAGACAAAGAAATAATGTAAACGATGGCAGTACAGATTTATTTAAGAGAACAGCGGACTTCAGAAACGCTAGCTAGCTCGGTTACATTTGGCAAGCTTTGTTTTCGTTTACACCAAAACAAACGGCTAACAAGTTTGTCATTTGGCTTGAACATCTAAAATCTGTTCGCAAACTCCAAAGGCTGAGGTCCTGCGCTCGGACAGTGTTCCAGCAGAGCTGACACCCAACGAAGTAATATAATTTATATACATCCCTCCCCCCGGTCTTATGGCTTTTTATATGGGATAAATTAGGTTATTAGTGGAATATGTATTCGTATTCTAGACATTTCTGCCAACTTTTGTGTAGAAACGGGCGACATATAACAGTGTTACATCATCCAAACCATTAAAGAGTAGCCCCTCATAAAATGTACATGCGGCCGGCTAAATAAACTAATTAAATTAAATTGAAGCTCATAACAAAAGTAATGGAACAGCATATTTTAAACATTACGTCTAGTGGTCTCGAAAATACACAACTTTTGTTTAAAGTGAGCAATTAAATCCTACGGACGAATATTTTGCCAAACGAGTTTGTCTTGGGAAAATAATCGTAAACAGTTTTGATTGCTGCGGTTACAAAGTCACGTATAAAAACAGTGATGGTACAAAAGATTCACACTTTAAGCATTCGTTTCCTTGCCAGAATGCTTAAAATCAAGGTGATCTGGCTTTATCTGTCTGGACGTGTGATTCCTCAAGTTTTTTATGCCATCTTTTATTTATCTTATGTCTTTCAAGATTATCTTTCTTGGCAGGACACAACACATTACACGAATGTAGTGGGATGCCATGGTCCGGCCAAATTACTTGTGATATTATTGGCGCCGTAACATTTTAAAGGAGTCTCTTCTATAAGGACGACAACACAAACCATATGACTCAAAAAATATTCAAAATAAAAACCTAAGCGTAACTTTATCTTTATTAAATACTATATAATTGACGTGAGAAGGCTACTTTGAATAGACATACATAAACAGAATAGTACATAATATGAAACACCTAGAAAATTAATTGTAACAATAAGCAAAGAGAGAAAATACTTCGCTAATAAGAAATAGTTTCTTAGCAGCATTGTGTAGAATACAATTTCCTCGTTTCCTCTGGTGAATGAAGTTAGACATAACTTGTACGGGTATTATAAACAAATAAAGTAGTTTTCGCATTCCCAGACAGCAAGCACACTGTACTACCTACAACGTGCGAAACTGAGCGGAAGAAGTACTCGTAACGATATTTTAGAGTTCCTTTCAAGGAATTGTAATAATATATGGTTTCATTTAAGTTTGTCTTGTTACTTGGGTTGAGTGGCCGAAATTGCGTTTTGTTTCATTTAGTGGGGGTACTGCGATAGTTTTTTATTCAATTAGAACAATACCTAAGATATAACTTTTAATAAGAGAATAATTATTTAAAAGTTTGACAGGAAATGCAGCTTTTAATCTATACTTATATTATAAAGATGTAAAATTTGTAAGTTTATATGTTGGGGGTAATCTTTGGAACCGCTGATCGGATTTCTAAAATTCTTTCACTGATAGTTACAATATTCTTGAGTGCTATAGGCTATAAAACATACGCTACAATCAATAGGAGCTGAGCAATGAGTGAAACCGCGCGAGAGTAGCTCGTCATGTATAAAATTATTCGCGGTCTAAATAATATTATTGCTCTCATAACGAGTTCCTTTGTATCTTTGCTCCTGACAATTATTGTAGCAGCAGACCACCATTTGCCATGCCAACTTTTAAACAGATTCCTGGATGCAAAGCCAGGGAGTGATGTATTCTCGAGCGAAAGAGGACTATTTTCGGTTGAATGCTTGAAGTTTTGCGAAAGAGATGAGTGAATAGAGCAATAATACTGTATATTTTTTTTTACTTATTGAGTAGTGCAATTGGTTTTTTACCTTACTATTCAAGAAAATGAATAAAGGTGAGAGCGTAGATGATGTACTTACAAAAAAATCTACATGATATACCTTTTAGAAATAAAAGGAGTGGTGTGATGTTGCTAAGCGTATGAAACAAAGCCCATTAAACAGTCCCCAGTGAAATCAGTTAAATATAGCTGCGTCTCAATAATCCCGCAGTCAGACATATGATCAGCTGACGTCATTCATACAATTAGCTACAATCGTGTTCCTTGTTCAATGCGTACGTCATCAGATGGGTTGCAAGCCAGGATTTAACCTTGATCCAAGAATTCTTGACAGAAATGACATAATATGAAGTGACTTTGACTTTTTGATTGGAAATTATTTAATACTCCTATATAAGGCGTTTCCGCCAAATCAATAACTATAAAATGATTTAGTAATGTCTTAATTGGCCAGATTAAAACTTGTATCAATAAGTTTATGTTTTCAAGAGTCGACAACTCACAAAGATGTCCAAGAATATTTTTGACAAGTATTCTTTTGTTTTCGTACCAAATCACTAAATAGGAGTCTACATAACGCTATTAAAACGGGGCAAATAAACTTGGAAGGGTAATAGATACGTTTATACGGTATTTAATAGCTTAGTTTGGCAACGTTTGGCTTAAATCTCGCAAATAACAATTGATAAATAACGAAAATGTGAATGAATAAAGAATTTTTTTTTGAGAAATGAAAATGAATTAATGATAAATAAAGAATTTTTTTTTTCTGAGGATAAAGAATGAGGTTTTCTCTTTAATTAATTAATACATACATGTTTCAAATAAAGTAAGTTTTAAATGTTAACTATGATAATTAACTTAGTTATGTACTTTCCTGTTTTATCGATTCAGTCATTTTCATTAAGCTTGCACGATCATTATTTATGAATTACTAAAATCTTTGAGCAGTAGCGAAGGTTCCTAGCAGCGACTAAAAACCGCTAATGATGTATTTAATGATTACTGATCTTTCCGACCTTGCTCTCTATCTGCAACGTTCTTGATGCTATTAACCTTTACTAATATATGGTAATGCAAGTAGGTATTAACGATCTTGTCTCATTCTCATCTTTTCTAAGTCGACTTAACAAAATGCCAGAGCATATTGAACGAACAATCCTTAAATCCGATTAAAGGGTGGATCATTTTTACGAAAAGAAAAAGGTCAAAAATATTTCTAAGAAGTTAAAACAAACAAAATTATTGTTTTATAGCAATTAGGAATAAGGACGTAGATTGATGTCTACTTGGGTAAACCTCTCAGCCAGAAGGAATTTGTAAAATTCCAAAGTGAATAAGTAATACCTAGAACTGAGAACATGCGATACTAAATAATAAGAAAAGCGCGCGTTTGATAAGAGCTATTACATATACATAGACCAACACATATGGGGTCCAAAATGGGGGCAGAATAGGAGAAGCAAAGGGGGGATTTTAGTCAGTAAGAATCTGGCACTCCTTCTCGTTCCACCCAGGACGAAGATTATCTTTAAAGGCCAAATACCAAATAAGACGCAATATACCAAATAATATAAAATTTCGCACTTTGAAATGTTATTAAATAAAAATGCAAATAATATTGAATCATTTATCAGTTAAGCTTGATTTCATCTAAACTTTAATTTAAGGAGCATCATAAATCATTTTAATGCTACACTAGTTCAAATTATCTGGCTCTGCGTGTATGAACGCACGTATTTACTAGTTTTATCATTTAGAACAGTTATTGAATGATGATTTATTAGCGAGTTAAGATTAAGTAATGTTTCCAATGCACTGAGCACTTATGAATGATATTGTGGAAAGTTTTTGTGTAAAATTTGCTTCAACAATACATACAATATTAAAGTGTGGGAGAGCCATGCCTCGGCACGAATGGGTCGGCTCGAGTGAAATAACAACACAGCGTTGTGTTTCGCCGTGTGAGTGAGGTTACACGAGGCCCAATCCTTCCCTCCCTCAAAATTTCCAAATCTCTAATCCCTAATCTCAACAGGTCGGCATCGCGCTCTTCCGTTGTTACAGGTGTCTAGGGGCGGGCTGATTGCTTTCCATCAGGTAATCCGTTCGCTCGTTTGCCGACATATCATATATAAAATAAAAGAAATGCAAGTAACATACATTTTTCTAAATAAAAGAAGGCTATTCTACTTTTGAGTATTTACAGAAATAGATCAATAATAAAACTTAACTCAAAACAGGTTAAATTCAAAGACCAAGTTTCCGTTAATCGTGACTATTTTTAAAGTTTCTGATCCTTGGAAATTTGAATAAAACATGAAGTGGAACAATAAACTGGTAGACAAAGAAGTCTGCCGGCATGTCCCTTTGGATCCGCCTCGCTGCCTGCCACCCTCCTGACCGTTACATTTTATATTCTTTAGGAGCTCAAATATTTGTCAAGTCTCCCATGACTTAAACAAATGTTGCTTTACCAAACATACAAACAGCATTCAAACATATTTCGGTATTTAATTAATATCTGTGTTTGATTTATGTTTCCATCCAAATATTTCCGGATACATGTTAGGTATTTAGTTATATTAATTAGCATTTTACGATACAAATTCTTATAGAATTTTATAGATCAATGGATGGCCAAAAAGTGACTGGATGACCTTGAATAGACTAGGTGTTTAATTGGGTATTTAGAATGATTGATTTTTCTTATTTTTGTGGTAATTAGTATAGTAAAGCTGCACCTTAAATAGCCTCAACCCATATTTACTAGTCATGACATCGATTAAAACCTCATTTCCGACCTGTCATCTTCTTTGCAGAGGGGAAGCATATGACATCGCCGCTTTACCGTTAACCGTGCACGCTATGAGTTTGCACCCTGTTACTTATTAGATAAGCCTTCAGGGTTATCCGCTTAACTTGATTAACGGGGGTTTTATAATCGTATTTGAAAGAAATTTTCAAATGCAAAAGCGAGTTTGTTTGTGACGCTTTGATGTCTGGATAAAAGTTACACAGAAGTATAAACAAATGGAAATATGAAAAAGCAGTAGCATTTTTGTGGAGACGATCAATATTATTCAATCAGACTCAGGAAAATTACGGAAGAAAACAGTTTATATAATTCTGAAGAAAAAATCACTTACTACAAAATAGATACTTGGTTCAAAGAATTATTTACCATATTCCTGTTCACGTGAGTCCAATAATTTGGCAAACCATAATGAGACTTGTAGACAAAGTTGTTAAAGTAATATTGATGAGACTTACCCAAGTATATTTGGATGTTTGAGCTTGTTCATGAGCTGCACCTCTCGTAACATGTTGGGCCTGTTGGCACGTTGTTGGTTCATCTTGAGCACCATCACCTTGCCGGACGTCTTATTCGTAACCTGGAACAAACCGATAAATATTAAGAAAATATAAATCTAAGAATAACCCTAATATTTGTATATAAAGCGTAGCTAAAATATTTGGGTTACATAAAAATTGCTTGCTTAGAATAATGCAGTCTATTGACGTAACGATGCTTGCAAAGAATAATTGACTTCTTTAGCCTTAGGAAACTTTGAAAAGTTCCCACTTATCGCCGAAACCCTTCAGACGTATTCCGTCCATTGAAATGAAAACAAGTCTTGGCAGATTTGGGTGGATATGGCAAGATGCAAAAAACAACATTACCTCGATATTTTTCCCACTTAGAAGTAAACTTACTCAGACTATTACCAGTCTCAAGTCTAATCTCTTTCCAGTCAATTGCATCAGTCTTCCTACTTTCGATGAGGTAGTTATATGAATATATTCGCAGCATCAGTTTCCGTGCGTACCGTGAACAATGCAAGTGTTTGTATGTAGGCTACATAGGCCGCTTCGTGCTCCCGTCTAGATTGGATTTCTAGTTTTCTAGTCTGCCGTTCGAATTAACTGTACCGTGCGTTACGGAGCCGTCTTGTTTTAAATATAGGTTTATCTTTTAATAAATTGTTGATAGAACTTTCTAATGAGGGCAGTAAAAAGCACTCTGTAGTCGAAATCGAAGCATTAATTTCGAATCGAAGCATTTATTGCTACATTGCTTTTTAAAATAATTGAGTACATATTTGTTAGGATTTGATATTAATATTTACATTTCATAAAACCGGAGGCGTGCAACATTCTATTATTAAGATAGGTACATATACATTTACTTATTGCATACAACCGTACAAAGTATTTAAGAGTTGTTTCCATTATCAAAGTGTACTTACTTGTTTTAATCTAGATAACGGTCATATGTAAGTCATAAGAAAACGTTTGTTCTAGTCAATACAAAGAATTTCAAGGAGAAAGATAATTGTTCCGAAGGTTTTATTTCAAATCTGGAAGAGCCATGCTTGGCACGAATGGGCTGGCTCAACCGGCGTGATAACCCGGCCTTACAGAAAAAACGGCTTGCGTAGTGCTTTGCCATGTAAGTTAGGCTACCGTAGTCTTCCATCAATCCTCAAACCTTTAACCCGCAGGCGAGATGGAGGTCCATCACTGAAGATACTCGTTCAACATGAAAAAACAAGTGCTAGAAGAGCAAAACATTAAGATATAAACCTAGATGTGAACTCAAGGTGACGCGACCGACTCACGGAGTTAATAAGCGAATAATTATGTTTACAAAGAACAAAACATCAATTTTAAACTAAGGAAGATAAATGACTCACTAGTATCATTATTTGTTGATAATACAAATAACGCCAAGGCTGTTATTTTTTGGGGTAAATGTAAAGTAATATAAGGTAAATTTAAACTGAAAATAATGTATCGCAGCCCCGACCTGGGAAGGAACTACCTCTCGCCACAGCTGGACCGAGAGAAGTAATTTCAACATTTTTTCACATCAAAAAGTGCTAGCGCCATCGAAGGACAAACGTAAACTTTCATTTATAAAATAAGTAATGAGTATTTTGTTAATTTACTTGTGTTTTTTATAGCAATAAAAGAGTTTGAATTCGACAAAACGGAGATTGTTGACGTGTTTTTTTGGCGTTGAGTATTTGTTTGATCATACAGAGTTTTTTTGACGTGTTTTTATGGTGTTGAGTTGGTATTTGATGAATAGTTTTACACCCCACACGAGGGTTTTTAGCGCATTTTCACGTAACAAGAAAACGAAACATCACTTAGCGCCCCCTTCGGTTATGGCGGCGTGACGGTAAGACGCATTAAATAACCATTTATATTGTGCCAACTACACAGAGTATACGTGTTTATTTCCTACCCATTTTTTCATGTTTATGATTGGAATGGATACAGTTTTAGGGAAGTTTCCTGTTTTCTTCTTTTTGTTGAAGGAGCAAGACTTTTGGCGGATAAAAGTTCTTACGGAATAGTTTCGTTATTTGTGGTGCTAAGCTGCTTTAGGGGTTATAATTGATACAAAAACATGAATAAAACCTAAAACTACATATTATATGTATCTAATTTAAGAGAGACTTTTGAATAACAAATTATTTATTTTAATAAGTAATTTAAAAGAAAACACGAAAATAGAACTCAGACAAAAAGTTTTTTCTATAGCCGATATTTTACTTTATTAATTCGTCAACATAAAAAAGGTCACAAATGTCATGGCGTTCTATTCCCGCTTGTTTATTGTGAAATCTTTGTCTTGAGTCTTCGTTACATTTGTATGTAAAAATAAAACATTATATTGGTTGTTGTTTTGTGTGAATATTGTAAGAGACTTAATTTCGAGTAGGTCACAAAGATCAAGACTTAACATAATTATTGGCTTGCGAAATGCTAACATTGAAGTCACAAAAACACAGTTGTTTGACAGCAACTTTTCAATCAAGGCTTTCTTCTCAAACTTCTACAAAATTCTATACGTTTATGACATTATGTCGAAGATAGCAGAAAGTGTATAAATAAATATACTCTATGAGTGCTTATAGGTCAAGATAATGAGTGGCTGCTTAGAAACATATCCAATCCTTACCTAATCCCAAAGTCTCCTCAACACTAATAACCAATAAGACAGGCCACACACTTGGAACTCCTCTAGTGTTACGGACGTCCATTGGCGTCGCATATTGCTTACCATCAGGGAATCCATCTTATCCATCTACTCTTGTGTCGCCTTATCACATAAAAGATCTATATATTTAACTATGTGACACGATGAACCAACTGAATATAAGATTGGCAGAAGGAAATGCAGTAGCGAGCGTCGGAGCAAGCATCGGCCGGAAAACTTGGAGGAAGGCGGATTCTATTTCCGGATCAGTGAATTAGTGATGCGTGTATTTATAACAAGGAAATATAGCAATTATCCTTAAAACATACAAAAATAGGGTAATGTTTTTTTATACAGCTGTAAGGTATTTTTTTATAGATGGGACACCGATTTATTAAGTTGGCCTTAAGTTTGTTCTTAGAGCCGCTTCATTGGAGGTGTATTATTTTCTTTTAGACTTTATATTCAAAAGCAAATATTCCGTGACACTTAGTCTAATATAAAGGTGCATCAATATGCCATGGTAATAAAGTTGCCATCTAAAAGATCGCGAAGCAATAAAAGCTTATATTGATAGCCATACATTTTCACTCCCACGGCACCGTAAACCAAAGCAAATACCTGTCTAATAAGAAGCATAAACAGTTTTTTTTTTCATCCAGAGTGGACCCACTAACTGTACCCGACGCCCACTCATATTGACTCTGATACAGTCAGCAGTAACTCGTCGCTCCATTAAAAAAATGTAACAAACATTCAGCCTTGTAGCTTTGGGTATAGTGGTGAAATTTCTGTGCATGTTTCAATGGTATAAGATCAATTTGTTCGGTTGACCACCAGTGGTCTCGTCGTGGCACTTGACACAGCCTCGCTAACGAACTGATGATGACGCTTTACGAGTAACTACTTCGGAAGGGATAATCAGCGATTTGAGCGAGTTTGAAGATCTTATTTAAATAAATAACAAGAGCAAAAGATTCAGGAGTATAGTTAAAAACTGTAGAGGGCGTTGTAATCGTTAATGGAAAGTAATGTTTTTTAATGAGATTGAAATACAAAATGAGCAGTCGTTTCAACAGTACTTGAAGGTTAAGTACTTCAGTTACGAATTATTTTTCATTAAGAATCGCCTAGTACAATAAATGTTCATATATCAAAGCAGTAAGAGGTTGAGACATACATGAGGTTCGCGAGTCCGTTGTCTATTGCAATAGTGCATAAGTAGGTAATGATACTTAATATAATGGGTGCTTATAAACGGTTCAATCACTTTTAATGAGCATTTCACAATGGTTTTAAATGTCATTTTTATTACAAGCGTGATTGCAAATATTTGAGCAGTCATCAAGGCTAAAGAAATTTTATTATCGTCAGTTTTACAAGTGCCTACCACTCAGTAGAGGCCTCTTTCTATTTGGAGAACGACGAGGGTTAATGATTGATGCTCAAAGCGGATTCGCTAATTTTTGGAAATTAAAATTAGAAAAAAATAAATTCAGATTTCCTACCAATGTTTTCCGTCAACTTTTGTCAGTGGTGTCTAAACAAGTAAGTACGTACATAACTTTAAAAAGGTGTATATAGAGTACAATTTGCTAGGTTTCCAACCCGCATCCTGAAGCATGAGAAGTAGGCGCCGTAGCCTACGGGCCACCACGATATTTGTTTTTGGGTGCAATTTATATTTTAACTAAGACTTGACGTAGTGTAAATTGATTGTGAGCCAATGGGAAAGAAGAATTGTTACAATAGCCTTCAAGTTCACGAAAGAACGGTCAAACATTTTTAAGAAATAACTACAAAAAAAAAAGAAATGTTAATCTCGTCTTTATTACATGACTTGAAGATAACACGTAATCCCGGCACGCAAGAATGTTGAAAATTCTTCGTGGAACATGGCCGTTGCATCGCGCAAGTAAGACATGCAATGAAAAAAAGAAGAAGTAAAGGCAAAGGCATGTGCTTACAGCCGGTTGTAAAAATAAAGTTATTATGCCAGTGATATCGAAGCTATGGGAAACGGGATCGGGGCGTCAGATCAGACCGTCTTAGTAATAACCGCTTTCCGAACATGTAAGTAATTTTTATAGCGTCAAATAGTTATGATATGAAAATTGCGCGACGATACGGATGTTCAAACTATTGTTAATGAGCTAAATGATATTAAGGCAAAAAACAAAATTTCTATAATGTTATTGTTAACTCAGATGACAATCAATTCCAATAAAATGAAAGGGTACACTTAATACACAACAAAAAGTTGCACGGCTCAGCCTGTATAATTAAACACACAAAGTAAAAACCGATGTTTTAAATCAAAGTATCTGTGTGTTTGTTTGTCGGCTTCTTCACAACGATAATGCAGTCAGGAGAGAATGCGACATTAACAATGTTTGCAAGAAA